GCGGCAAGGTTAATGATATGCATGGGCTATTTTTAGATTACCTCACCAAGTTCAGTAGATCTAAATATAACTCGATCATGCACTAATATTCTGTGTGATTAATTTGGACCACCCTTTGAAGACGGAATACTACTACAGTCAACATCCTCTATTGTATAAAACCAATACAGACAAAAAACAATTATAAAAGAAACTTACTTTTGCGTCTTGAAAAAGAATTGAAACGGAACAATTTCGTTTATAATTTATTACGGTTTAAATCAATAAATCATCCTATTTATATAAACAAACTGGGATTACCGAAGTAACTAAAAATAGCTTAGATTTCCGTAATATTACTTCGTCTGATTCCGCAGTATGACGGAATCGCCCGAATTGTCACGATTGCAATCGGAACTACATCGGCTATTATCATTAATCCGAAGAGTGACGGAAAAGGCCGAAAAGTTGCGATTGGCACGATTTCAGCTGGTTTCCCGTTCAATCATGCACTTACAAATGTAAGCAGAAAACCACCTAACCGGAACAAGTTTTCCAAATGAAATGGCTTGCAGCCGTGGCTGCAAGCCAAAAAGTTTCCTCGACTGGGATTCGAACTCAAGACCTCTCACTCTCTAAGCGAGCGCGTTACCACTACACCACGGAGAAGTTATACATACAATTTCTGAATAACATCAAGTCATTCTAAATTTAGAACTTCCATTGCATTTCGGGTTTGTAATCCTTATTAATTTCGAGGTTTTTTGTTCAGGATAAACCTGTTGTTTAAAGTTGAAGTAAATATTTTAGCGAAAATCTTCTCGCCCAAACAGTCCGACATGTAGAATCTATATATTCCACTACTCGGTTTGTGTAGTATTCGGTAATCCACATCGCTAAAAATATTATTTTCATTGATAAAATCATATTCATCCGCGTAATTTGAGATTGTGCATTTATTGACAATTCTATAAGCCAACGCTATTGCTTAACTTTGAATGCGTTGTAATTTGTTGGATACTTGTAACAAAATAAAATATTTCTTTCTTTTAAATCGCTAGTTTTCAGCTGTTTTGAGAACTACTTGTTGTTAGGTTTGTCGTAAACTTCTGTGTCAGAGATTGAATGTCCGCTTTGTATTTACTTATTTTCGATAAGAAAATACAATAAAACAATATTAGAAATCTTCGACCATTCGGAAATCACTTTGCTTGAAAATAAACGCGCCTGTCTTTGACCATCTTTACGCAGTGATCTCCCCTGAATTTTTCGGCGTTAGTGTACATACAAAAGGGAAGTAACCGCTTCAAAAAAGTGGACTACTTTCGGCATTTGCAATTAACAACATTAGACTCTGAAATTTCGCTACCATTATTTGTTTGGTCTGACGACCCAAACAAATAACAATATAGTTTAACTTTATGTTTCCTTCTTAGGAGAAGTCGTATTCATATTTGATGTCGAGATCTATGTAATTTTGAGGAAAATCATGTTTTCTTTTAATATTTTAGTGTCATGTTTGTTTGGCTGTATATGCTTAAGTTATCTGAAAATGATATTGTTGTATGACATGATAAAACACGTCCCCTGCATTGTGTGGTACGTACTACATTGTAATCAAATCAAATCAAAATTTATTTATTGTCGGTATATCATATAAACATATCACAAAACCATAAGCTATGTATAGCTTTTGAACGACATACACACATTTAAAAATATAAAACACATAAAAGAAGCACATAATCTAACATTATGAAAATTAAGTAAAAAGAAAAATGTCATTCTAATTAAAATAATTAGAGTATTAAAGTGTGGGATAGAGTTATAAATAAATAATAATTATTACATTCTAGAGATAACATTCTATTTCCTGTACTTATTAGTAAAATAAACAATATATATAAATAAAATTAAACTCATACAAAGTTATAAAATCTAAAATTTATGTGGAGTCTGCTGATCTTGACCTTGTTCTTAAAAACTGCTTTAAGGGAAATAAAATACTGAAAAAATGGATCACAAGGGTGTGTCCAGAAGTGTTAAAAGTGAAAATTTCCCGAAAATTTCCCGAATCAAATTTAGGAAGGTCTGCTCAGCAGCCTCCTCACAGAACACAGAAATTGTATATGGAGCATTAACAAAAAATCAAGTCAAATGGGAAAACAAGAAACTAAAAGATACATGTAGGTAAGCATACATAAGAAACAAACAGAAAACAAACCTAGAGATGTTGCAGGTTTATTGGCAGAATGTGCATGAGCAACTTGCTCCATTCCATACAACAATTAAGCTTTTTTATTGGTCATAATTCACTTGTTGGGGAAATGAGTTCCAAAGCTTTGATGCATAGGAACGAAAAGAGTTGCTGCCATAACTATGGCTACATTTTTATATCTAAAATTGAAAGAATGTTAACAAGATCATGAAGATATGTTGGTTCTTATTTATAAATGATTTTATGCATTTCAAGTGCTATAGTTCTGATTCGTCTTAGTTTTAAATTTGGTAGTTTAGATTGTATCAAAAGTGAGTCATTGTCTGATTGGTATTGTCATCATAAATGAAATGTTGTGCTCTTTCTTTAATTTTCTCTTGTTTTTTTGTATATATTTCTCCACAGAAGTGCCAAGTGAGAGGACAGTAATTAAAATTTGATAGAATAAACGAGTAATATACATGATGTATGTTCAATCTCAATAGCTTACATAATTTTTAACTATTCTCTTAGCATGTTAAGTTGTTTTGAGTTGGATTTTTTTACAAGTATTAGAAATATGGTTATCAAATCTAAGATTTTAAAATCAAAGGTTACCCCTAGAAGTTAAACAGATTCATCACATTGGACTACACTACCATTTAAATGGAAACTTATATTTTGATCCCTAATATTTTTGCCGATAACAATGGCCTGGAATTTGTCTAGATTTGCTTGTCTGAAAACCATTTTATTAGTGATTGACTGTCTTCTGACTGACAGACTCTAAAAATTCAACAATATTGTCAATGTTTGTATCATCTGCATATTTATAAAGATCACAGTAGTTTACAAAATCAAAAATGTCATTGATAGATATGTTAGATAATACAGGACCTAAGATAGAACCTTGAGGAAGCCCTTTATAAATATCTTTGAAAGAGTTTAAATTAAAACCAAGTTACACGCATTGTTTCCTATTTCTTTAAATAAAGTCAAACTTGTATTAGGCGACCGCGCAAAGGAAACACCCAAAATGGTCGCTTAATGAAACGGTCTCTTAAGACAAAGCATGATAAACAGTCAAAATTTACACATGACATCTTTCTTTTGCGGTGGGAATGCTTTTCAACTTCCAAACTTATCAATGAAGCCGTGTTTTCATTTATCGGGTCCCAACAAATTCGTATCAACATCAAATTATACTCTATCTAGCCTCAATGTCATTTTTTCGAGTTCAAATGTTCCATATCAAATCCATATTGTAGTCCAAGTAACTATGTAACTTTATCTTTAATAAAATGAAGAGAAAATAAATAAATTTAACTTCCAGCATTTGCATCACGCGATGTTTTAATATAATTAATTATTGCGTCTATGTAGCCGCGTATTCTTTTTCGAGTCCTAACAAATACACTTTTCTATATCTTATAGCATCTAATGATATCATTTTAATTGTAATGTTTCTATTTTCAACCATTTTTTATCAAACTATTTTGCGTCGTAGTGTACTGCACTATTTAAATTGTATCTTTTTTGTCATATTTAATCGTACTAACAAGTATTGCACTGCACTGCATTGTATAGCTGTGTTGTGCTGTGCTGCTACTGTACTGAACTGAACTGAACTGAACTGTACTGTCGTATCATTTTGTGTTGGTTCTATATTTTCATTAAAAGATAAAAACAGCATTTGACTAAAAGGAATTTCGGGTCAGCGCTTCTAACATTTTTAAACGAACATAATATAATACCATATATCAATAATACCCGTATGAAATAATTTGAAACCATACGGGTATTATACCCGTATGAAATAATTTGAAACCATTAGCTACATTCTTGAATAATTTTTATATTAAACAACAACGGTATCATATTCGGGATCAAATTTTTTAGTATCAAACGTAATATCTTACACGTTATTTAGAGTGTCTATAAAAGTGTTTTTGTTGTTGTTTTTTTTAATAATAATAAAAATAAAATAAAATTTATATAATAAATGTATCGTGATATACGATATATTAACGAAATAGAGCTTACGTTAAACATGCAATATAGCTAATACCATGAGGAACTGACGAAAAAAATTTACTACAAGAGAATGTTGACTCGGGCATCTCTATAAACACCAAACTGAATCAAGAGCAGGATTTTATAATTATATTTTTATTTGCGCATTCCGTTTTTTTTTTGGACATAATGACATACTGCAGTACACACAACGGAACATTCTGTAGTAAGAAATTAGCAGTTAAAGGTAGACTTTGCATATTATAAAGTAAACCTAAGACAGTAAGCAGTTGGAAGTAAATATTTGAGAATACAACTGTACTGTAAAATCATAGGTAGAAGACAGTAGTAGACTATTGTTTATGGAATTCCTTTACTATTGGCGTTCCAAGTGGGCGGCTTATCATTTTGTCATTTTCTTCTTGGATACTAGTGAAAGACTTTGACTCTCTTTTACAGAAAGTTTAAAAGGACAGATGGTTCTTTCATATACAAACAAAAGCAAACAAAGCAAACAAACAATGAAAAAAAAAACAAGAAAAAAAACCTTTCGCTATACTTCATTATCATGTGTTCTATGAAACACTAATGTTATCTTTTATAATGGTTGCAGGACTTGCAATCTTAACAGAAAAAATAATAATGGAAACTTGCTGTGATAGACAAAAAATAACTGAATATATATGAATCAATAAAGATATTCAAAACAAAATAAATATTCAAAACAAATAAGACGCAATTGGTTATATAATGATATATGATATGACAATGTTTTTTTTAACATTTCAATGAATCTAACGAGGCATAAAGTATAATGTAAAATATTTCGGTCAAGTCTTAAGCATGCCATAAATATCTTTTATTCATGCCTGACCAAAATTGTTTGTAATCATTTTAAAGTGCGTCGTAAATATTGCATCATACAATGCTTGAAGAAGGACTTACCTTATAGGTACGTTTAACTTTATTTAATTTACCGCATACCTTACAAACACAGTGGCACAAGGTCTGCTGTTTGGAGGGTTATTTATTTACTTATTTATTTATTTATTTATTTATTTATTTATTTATTTATTTATTTATTTATTTATTTATTAAGATTTGATTACTTTAAACGTACGTTATGGACAATATTTTGTTACATAGTCCCCTTTACAATTTCCTTTTACGTGTTTATTGCTATTATTATTATTAAATTGCACATTTAGACTTAATTCATCGATGATTTGTTTTCTCAAGACATTACATTTTTCGACCGGACGGCTTAAATATTGTTTACAAGTTTTCCGGCCTTAAATGCGCATTTAAATTAAAACCAGTTTCCTTTCAATTATCTGTTTCTAGATGACCTTCATGGTCACTAATCTGGATTAAATGACCACCCGCAGGCGAAATTGTCAAAAAATTATTTCGGTACAAAACTGGTGGCGAGATTGATTCTATTTAAAATCCGTAACATAAACATTCTTTCAGAATACTCGGACGTTCACAAAGATGAAACTTGCGCTTCTGTTTATGTTGGGCGTCTTCTGCGGGGCTTCAGCAGACGATCATAAAAATGGCGGAAAATCACCCGACATCGTTTATCAGTGGAATATTGTGGAATACGAGTGGCCAAACGATACTTATAAACAACAACAAATTAATAACACGAACTATATACCCAAAAATAGTGCTATAAATGGAATTAAACTTTACAACGGGACGGTCTATGTTACCGTTCCACGACTGAAACCTGGAGTCCCATCGACGCTTAATGTAATTATTGACGCACCCGAAGGAAGCAATGGTTCAAGTCATCTGCTGCGGCCGTTTCCAAACTGGGATATGCAGGAACTGGGGAATTGTGCGGCCCTGCAGCGTGTGCAGAGCATGGAGATAGACCCGAACACTGGCTATATGTGGATCGTCGATACAGGTGAGCTTTATTTGTCATTTTTAATTGTTAACAAGCATGTTTGATCGGATGAAAATACTTTAATTTTTTTTAAATATTTTGTTGTGTAATTTTAGTTATCTAAACTGTGTTTTTTTAAAGCACGTCATTTCTTTTTTGTTCATCTTTTTTTGTTTATAAAATCAAAATACGTGTGACTCGGTTTTTTGTTTTTGTTTTTTTTATATATATAAAAATATAGATGTGAACTTAACGAACATTACGCAATTTAAACACCTTTGGGGCGAATGATGTATGTTTTACTACTATACAAGGAAAAGGGACAGAACTTTGTAATACTTGTTCAACCCCAATGACAAAAATTGTAATGCATATTTGTAATTTTACGGGTGAGAATGAAGTATCAGAAAATGTTACACAAGATAGTAAGATTGTATTTCATAAGAACTAAAATCAATATAGGATCATTTTCAGCTATTTTAAGACTATTCGAAAAATAGGGAGACTTATTGTACTCATCATGAAACTTTGGTTAAGTTTTTTTCTATCTCCAAAACTACTGATGGACATCTCACACACTTATTTGAGAGCATAAAATGAATTCACTGTATAATACCAATAACTCTAATATGGAGTTTGACAGGATCATGGCCCTTTTTGAACTTACAATATTCTTGGTTGAAGTTTTTTCATTCAACTTCAATCTTTAAAAGCTACTGAAACTTAAAACAAGTGTTCGCTAACTGAGGCTCATTGCTGTAGCATTGATTTTAACTGAATTATAGCACTTTTTCAGCTTAACAAACTTTTTTGTTCAAGATATGCATTCAACATTGGTATTCACCTAATGTTTAATACAAGTTGTTTAGATGATAATTGGAAATCGCTTTCCAATGCCCATAACACTAGCATGGATTTTGACAGCCATTTTTTAACTTAAAAAAATCTTAGTTGAAGTTTTTTCATTCAACATCAATCTTTAAAACTATTGAAGATATTCACTTGAAACTTAAATCGTGTTTTCTTGATCATAATTTGGTTTATACATAATTTATTTTAGTTCAACTGTGTAGGAAGTCTATAACTTATAGGCACAATCTCGAAACCATTCCTGGAACCAACCAGTACTGTGCAATGAATGTAAAGTTAGATTCTTGCTCAAGGAAACAACGGCTCGCCCCTGACAGGGTTTGAACCCATAGGAATAGCGATCCATATATTACTAGTCCCATGCATTAACTACTCAGCCATGCCGCCATGCTTATGATCATAATTTGAAGTCACTTTACAAAATCAATAAGTCTAACATGGATTTTGACCTTTCCTGAACATTGATAAAATTTAGTACTTAAACAGCTATAAAAATGGTATACAGTAAAAACCCTCAATTAAGACCACCTTTAGGACTGGACCAAAGTGGTCTTAATTGCGGGGTGGTTTTAATTGTGAATATTCTTATCATAGCTTACACACTTTTTGACCATAGTCTATTTTAGTCATTTTGTATGAACTAACAATATGTATCATAACCTACAAGTACAATATAAACGTATGTTATAATTTAACATCTGACAGGAAGAAAGAAATTTAATATAAAATTCTATATGGTCTGATTTCAATATTAATTATTATATTATGTACATAATTCACCCATCAAATAAGACATTAATTCTTTGCATAATCAATGTGCTTAAGAGCAACATTCAATCACCCTAAAATTTACTTTCTCACCTTATTTATTTCATACAATACATCCCAATGATATAAGGTGTTTTCGACACCTTGTGAAGTGTGAAGTGTCATGCCTAAGAACATTCAAGCAGATAATGAGAACATAATAAATTTAAGATTTAGGTAGGTGTTGACCTTAAATCAGTGGTCTCAATAGTGGGGTCAAATAAAGAACAAAACAAAGAATTGGGACTGAATCTGGTGGTCTTAAAAGTGGATAAGCGAGGTGGTCTTAATTCTGGATAATGTACAATTGACATAAAGAACAGAAAATTCCGTACTTTTAAAAAATGGTCTGAATAGCGGGGCGGTCTTAATTCCGGGGTGGTCTTAAGTAGGGATTCTACTGTACATGTTTATCTTCACATAGAAAAGTAAAATTAAGGTACCTAAGAGGTATGTTTTAAAACTGTACTCACCACTGTATACCCCATTTAACTGGTCTTAAACAATTGATTAGCGTCCAATTCCGCCCTTAACTTACTGAATTGTTATATAGATTTTTTTAAATTCTATTTGTTTATTTAAATGGGTAATAAATCACTGGAGGAGTGGGGTGTTTTGTCTTTTGTAAACACGAAGTACTAGTATATCATTCGGGAATGAGCGCCTCTAGGGAGTGAATTATCAGGACATATATGATCACGTTTCAAGCTGAATAAGAACATAGGGCATCTACGTAAAACAGTTATTTGTGTTTTATTTTCCAGGTTACATAGCAAAGATGCAGGATGTAGGAGTGCAGCCAGTTGACTCTTGTCCCGCCAAGATTATCATATTCGACTTGAACAAGCATGAAGAAGTTCACCGGTACATCTTCCCTAGACTGACTGTAGGCTACGGTCTCTTCTATCTTAACGACATAGTTCTGGGCTACAGTGAGAATGTTGCTAGATACGCCTTCATGTCGGACACTCTCGACTACAAGCTTGTCGTTTATGACTATAAAGAGGACATTTCTTACGCTTACTCTCATTCGAATATGAGAGCAGACGAAAAATATATAAACATTACTATATCCAACATGACGTTGACCGGAATAATCACCGGGATCAATGGAATTGCAATGTCGCCAGACTTTAAGTACGTCTATTACAGTTCCGTCGCAGGCGTTGGATTGCACCAGATAGAAACATCCGTACTAACATCTGCTAGAGGAAATTCCGCGGCGTTTGCTGCGGCAGTTCGCACAATCGGAGAAAAAGTCAGCCCTGGTGACGGCATGACCTATGGCTCCAATGATAAACTCTATTATTCAGCGCTTGGGCCAAATGCCATCTACGAATGGGACATTTCAAAAGACTTAGGTTCGTCCTTGGACTTCAATACAGTTCCGTTGATCAGCCAATCAGAACTCGTGTCTGATCCACGTATGCAATGGGTTGATACGCTTGCACTGGACGATAACGGGTTTCTGTGGTACACTACAAGTAGACTCAACAAGTTCTTCAGTTCTGACGGAATCGTCCACCATGAACCAAATTTCTTCATTTGGAAGATATATGTTGGTGATGAACATTATTTGTCGGTCAAACAAGACATCCCTATTCTTGCTGGTCAATCAAACGTAGCCTCCATTTTTATAACCACATTTTGCGTAGTTTCAGCGTTTGTTTTATTGCTTTAAAAAGTTGACCTTTACTTGACACTGTTAACGTCTTTACTGCCTTTTGAAATTAATCAGACACTAACTTTGTCATTGAAGTCAAATTTTCCGCTTCAGAAAGGTATTACAAACCGTGTTAGGTTTCAGAGTAAGGTGTAAATTTAACACTAGTAGATAAGTAAATACATTTGTCTTCTTTTCATCTATTTGATTACATAAAATAAGTTGTTTGAACCTATTAAAGTATATCCATGAAATTAACTTCGTTACAGTAGGCTGGACACCACTAAAACATATCTTCTGTACAAAACATACTGCTATTGGCGACCTTTTTTCAAATATTGATGGTATTTTACAACCAAACACAAATGTACCCAGAAACTTTCTTTATATTTTGGACATATTTTAGAAAAAAATATACGTACCAAATAATATTTGCTAGAGAAAAACTGTTTGAAATAAATGGCATAAAATGTGGACTATATTTTTATGCTAAGTGCGGAATATTTGTGTAGTGGTTTTCAACCATGACAGTAACGTAATCTAGTTTACATTCTTGTAATATAACATATATTACTCATCATTCATTTACGTTGAAGCTATCAACTTTTCCTTACCAGCCGTACATGTGTAAGTCTGAATGAAACGAGCTATAGGCAACAAACTAAGGGACACAATATCGTTATTCGTCACGAAATGTGAAAAAATGGAAATTGTCAAATTGATTTTGAAAAAGTTACTTGTCAAGGTGTTTCTCTCTAGTTGAGACATTCGATCTTTAATATTTTATATGAAATAATGTTAATGTTCCATATGTGAATTATAAACCATCATCAAACTTATGTCATCTTAATTTTGTAACATCACTTATATCATGAAATTAAATAAAATGCATATCATTAATATAAAATGCTTTTCTTTTTTTTCTTTACAAAATGTATTTCAGGATATATAAGTGTATCAGATACATTACAGCATATGATCAATACAGGGGTATATAATGGACTAGCAGATCAAATTATTGCAACTTCATCTAAATTTTTCCAGTCTGATTCCCTACTGTCCTTTCTTTATTACCAATAGAAGTCAAAACGACCCGCTGATTGTCAAACTACGGTGACCCGTTAGGGCCTTCACGACACATATACATAACTTGAAACAACGAGCAGAAGTCGAAGTAACGAAACCATGATGGTGAAAACTTAATATGGTTTCGTGTTTTCACTATCGTACTTCCGACCTTTCAACATCGTGGTTTCGTTTTTTCATTATTTTGACTTTTCACGATTGTACTTACGGCTTTTCATCATTGTATCTTCGACTTTTCACCATCGTGGTTTCCACCAACCCAGACGCTACATATCAGTGTAAATGGCTGATAGAGCAGAGTACTCTTCATTTCATCTGTTAATTTAACCCATTACTTCATATACACGCCTTTTAACGCCTTTTTCACCCCCCCCCCTTTTTTGTTGTCTCAAATGATGAAAATATGCCTTATTTAGGCCCCAAACACTTGTTTTTGTTTGAGAAATGTTGTTAAAAAAATTGACCTCTTTTTCGGCGCGGACCCCCATCCAAAAGATACATCAGGGGGTTGCCAGAAGGGGGATGTGCCCCCTTCTGTTTTGGGGGGTTTGAAGGGGGGCGGAGTCCCCCTCATCGCCAAGAAAATTTTGGACTTGTGAGAGGCTGTAAATGACCCCAGATTGATCATAAGGTAACGTGTAACCAACGCTGAAAAGCATTTGACTCTATCTCAATCCATTGATAAGTTGCAGCACTTTGAAATCAATTTTGATGGAAAAAATCAACGCAAAAAAGTGATTTTTGGCAATTTTGAGATGTCCCCTCGTTGCCATGGTAACAGAAAATTTAAGTCTGAGCATGTTGTTGCAAGGACAATGGTCCAGTCAACATTTGTGCCAAGTTTGATTAGTGTTGAAGCAGTTTTTATAGTATTATAGCAATTTGAACTTGTAACGGGAGACTTTTCAATGAAAACAGCCATTTTTCACAAAATGCTTATGAAGCAATGGGTTAAGGAATACAATTAAATAGCCATAATTTGCGTGATACATCAAAAGTGGTAAAATTCCTAAAACGTTTAATTTGCAAACAAACATTTTATTGACTTCAAGGCCACCAGCCCTTCCCAAAATATACGTTTCACAATATAAACATTTCATGTGAGCGGTATATTAAACAAATGGTAACAAAAACAATTCTTTTTTAATTACATGTACTGCTCCATCAGAATTTAAATGGCACTAAGTAAGATTATTTAATTGAACAATGATGTTCCTAAGTATCGATCGTAATCTTCACCGTCATCTTGAACACCACTTCAAATGTTTCAATGTTGCAGATCGTAAATAAGTTCGTATTCAGTATTTAAGCAGAACTCTTTTTTTTATTTATAAACAAAGACTCATGGCCCTTAAGGGCATAAGAGTGAACAATCAAACAAAACAAAAAATAATAATACAAACATGGCATAGAAGTAAATAAGTAAATAAGGAAGATGACTTAGTGAAATTTCAGCATTATTGCTTTAACAAAAATGGCTAGATTAAATAAAGTATTTCTGTTGTCGCTACACATTAGAGCCTGAAAATTTAAAATACTAGGAAACCTTGAATAATAATTACTGATATACTTGCGTCTTTTATGAGTAAAATAAGTAAATTTAAAAATATAGTGAAATTCATCACCTATTTCTTGCTGGTCACAAAGTGAGCATGTTCTATTTTCTCTTTCAATACCAAAATAGCGACCTTTCTCTATAGGTATTAGAATTGAGACATCTAAATTTACAAAGAGTAATTGCTAAATTTCTTGGTAAACATAGTAAATAATGTTCTAATCTAAATTGAGTTTTATATATTCTATAATTTAAACACTTAGCAGAATTAAAAACATCTATATTCCATAATTGTAAAAACTGATCACGTAATCGTGATTTTATTACATATTTAAAATTATTAAAATATTGTAACATTCTGAGTTATCCAAAAATCAGAACAACCAAGATTATTCAAAGTAGATTTTACTTTCTCAATCCACTGACAATGTAAAATACCCTTTTCATGAAGATTACTCAATTGACACCGTCATTATTGCTTTGGAACCCAAAGTGTACTTGTATTTGACCTCAATCTGCGTCGCACTTAGGGGCCAAACCAGAGTGCGATGTAACAAAGCTTCAAAAGATTTCAAATTTCAGTTACTTAAAGTAGAAGGAATCTCTCACAAAAAATATTTAAAAACAAAATAATGTGTACCAAGCTTGAGATTTATAAAGATCCTTTGAAAATTTTTGAAATCATTGCAAACAAGTAATGAAAATAACAGATAAATATTTTGATAGAGAATTTTATTCTTTTCTTATAAAATACATGTGCGTTGTATAAGTGTTTGTGCATAACCCTATAAGTTTTACGGTACTTATTCTTATAACTTAAGCAAAAATTAATGATTCTCTACCTGCCTGGTTTGTGTTCAAATATCTGAAAGGAAATTTTTACGACAAAAAAATGAAAATGAAATAAATAAATAAAATAAAATAATGAACACAAATTAAGAGACTACAACCTTTTTCTCTCAGTCTTATATCATTTCTTAGTATGGTCCGTCTCTTTTAACCGAAAGAAGATATTTATATGTACTGAACAGATCAAATTTCTTTTGTAAGGGTATGACTTTAATTATTTTTGTCTTTTCATTTTAAACAGATGATTAAAGCACTGTTTCTGTTTACAACATTTTTGTCTGTATTTGACCAGGTTAAGTGATTTCATAGACGCCCCCAATGATATTTAAGGCATATGTGGTTTACACATATTTGTTTAAGATACCTTTATCACAAAACCACGTGAAAATAAAGACATACTTGAGGATGAATGTAATTTTATGACAATAAAGCCGACCTTTGATGATGGTGTTTACATAGATACGTTTTGTTTTATACGAAATTTCGATTATTTTTGGGGCGCGACAGAGGCCACATTAAAAAAAAGCCTTAAAGCATCTTATTTTGAAAAATAAAAAGATGCTGCAATGTTTCTCCAGTTCATAACATTAAATTTGCACGTTGGTCGAAAAGTTATTTCAAAATCAGACCTGCATGTTAAGATCGATTAAAAAGTTCGATTTTCATTGGATAATAGTGACGCATAAATTTTTAATCATAGGGCTGCTGCAAAATTAAGAGTTTTTTTCTTTATAATGAAGTAAAGCGTACTTTCATATATTCATTATATTTACAAATATAAACGATTTATTGCTGAATAAAATTGTAACAGGAAGTATCTTTGTGGTGCGAAACAATAACTAGTGACAAACATGTGCATGCCTCCATATAAAGATGATCTTTAGAAAAAGGTTTTGCCATTAAGAATTTTCTAGTTCTAAATGCATAAAACTTTTTGACGCTTGCGGTATTTAGCATAATATAACATTGAATTTGCTTTTATGATATAAAACTAGCTTGCTATTTAAACATTGTTTACTTTTCATTGCTAAAGATTTACAATATTGAAAATATACAAACATTGCGCTTATTAAACGCCTTGCATTTTCTTAAAGTTATGCATAAATATACACGTGCGAATATGAAATGTGACGGGAGTCATATCGAAAATAAAGCGAAATTGATTGATTTTTGTTAATGTACCAACATGAGTCCAATAAACCAGCACTAGCTCGGTCGTATTTTAAAGTTATGCCAGCATTTTGACCTTTATAACCAAAGTTGTTATCAAATTTGTACCCCTGTCTTGTTATAAAATTTATATATCCTCTTCAAATACTTGTGAATATCAGCACGGACAGTAAAAACTATAGATCTGAAGTACAGCGGTTAATAAAACATACTATCCGACGGCGGAATGTTCAATAATCAGTTGTGGCAGCGAGTCAATACCAGACGCTTACATTTCGTTCAGTATACTGACATATCGATCTCGTGCAGTCTATGACAAGCTGCAGTGTGTGGATGTAGTGTTACATTTTGATTATTTTCGTATATATATATCGTTTTTTAAAGATTTTTGTAAGGATACTTTTCGTGGATTTTTATTTCTGTTGAAGAAAAAATGTCTTCGCAAGAAACCAGTCCGACATCTCCAACGCAATCAGACAAAAGCCCACAGAATACAATTAGGGTGATAAAGACTAACGAAAAAGAGCAGACGGTAGTTGAGGTCAAGGTCGCTGGAGAAGACGGGGCAAAGGTCACAGTATTTGGCGGGGAAGGACCCACAGTGAACGGAATTACGAATAAATCGGACGATAAACAACAAGATGACAATAAAATTCCTGATACAAAAGACGAAAAGGAGAATAAAACGCAAGAAACAGACGCAGACGACAACGATGATGACGACTATATACAACCAATGACCAAGCAAGAAATTGACGAAATTGTAGCTAGGTTTGAAAAGAAGTTTGAAAAGAAAGAGTTAGATAGATTTTTAGAGTTCTTCTGGTCTGTTGATAAATATGGTTTCGGATTTTTCACCTTCCCCCAGTTTGTGTACCGGATGCGGATGATGCGTTCTTTTAAATCACAGCGGGAATTAGCGGTAAACATTTGTCATATTTATATCTCTCTGTTCAAACAAAGAAAACTCTGTTTTCTCATAATTTCACCTTTTTCAGTTTACATTTCATATTAACTTTGGAATTTTATTGAAAAAACGTAATTCGTTTAATAAACTGATGCTATGATATAGTTAAGGTATATATAGCATACCAAATCTTTAAAGCTGCATGCCTTCAGATAAGCCAAAGTATTTTAATAAAGGCACTTTGAGAAAAAAATACTAAGATTTTAGAAAAGTAAAAAGCTTTAAAAATCAAGCAATAATTTACATGTTATGTGCAATAAATGACTGATATTTTAGAATTTATTGCTATATTTCTACTGCGTTACTAACGTAGTAAGGGTTATTTCTCATTTTGGTAGTTTACATAGGTTGTTAGTGCCATTGATAATGTGTAAATTGCTTCCTTTTGGTCATTTTACAATATTATACATTTAAATACATTTTCAAAATTTCATGAAAATAAGCTAATCTGTATGCATGCTGCTTTAAGAATAAGTAAAATTAGTGCGCATCTTTAACTGAATACAGCGTACTAATATTCAATATTATAGTACCACGTCTTTATATGCTTACATCACAAAAAGAAGTTTACTTACTAAGCCTTGCATGAGCTTATATACTTAAACATAACACATGAGCTTATTTAAACATAACAAGTGAGCTTATTTAAATACATGTAGTATACATGGGCTTATTTAAACATAACACACGAGCTAATATAAGCATACTAAATAAGCTTACTTAAACATAACACGTGAGCTTATCTAAAAAATAACATATGAGCTTAGTAAAACATACCACATGAGCTAAGAATAGCATATGAGCTTATTTAAACGAAACATACAAGCTTATTTAAACATTACACACGATCTTGTTTACACATAACAAACAAGCTTTTTGTTAACATAACAAATGAGCTTATTTAAACATAACACGTGAGCTTATCTAAAAAATAACAGATAAGCTTATTTAAACGAAACATACAAGCTAATCTAAACATTACACACGATCTTACTTAAACATAACAAATGAGCTTTTGTCAACATAACAAATGAGCTTATTTAAACATAACAAATGAGGTTTTTAAAACAAACGAGCTAATGTAAATATAACAAACGAGCTCATGGAAACACAACATGAGTTCATTTAAACATAACAAATGAGCCCATTTAAACATAACACATGAGTTTATTGAAACATAACAAACGAGCTTATATAAACAACATATTACAGTGTAGTTCATTTTAACATAAGACATCAATATTATTATTTAAGCTCGAAAAACAAGTAGGAACAAAGACTAATGAAGTATACTAATTTACTAATTTGCCTCATTTTTATTTTGGAAAAATTATGAAGTTTGCCGTTGATTCCTACAAGTGAGAGGCTTTTGGTTTGCTTCAAACGAGACGGTTTTTTTAAATATAAAAGATATTCAAAAATTTTCTTAAACCTTATCCTTCTGTAACCAAAGGTTATAGGCCTTTGCAACCAATATAGAGCCAGGCCGACCTGCATATCCCTGTCCTACCAGGCTCTATACTTCCGGCAGACTAATCTTGATATTCCCAAAATAGAGGCTGGTTAAACTCATTCAGTTAATGGTTAAGACTAAAAATTAATATTATTAGATCTACCGACTATACATGTATGTTTTAAGAAGAAGTTTCGAGACAGACATGCTATTGATTTCCACATAATACTGTACAATAATCTATATAGACAGCTAGCTAACTGGTGTGAATAGGTGTTTTATTAGGATTATATATTACCTAACATACAAGGGGTAAATCTATTGAAATGAAGAATAAACCAGGATATCGTTATGCACAATACAGTTGTAATAATATTGTAATCTTTGTACCACTGCCTAAACATTAAATTGTATTGCGATTATCATGAATATACCAGGATATCTCCTTCTGAATTAGCTATTATTACATCTCTAAATGGCAATGAACAAGATAAGTTTGTAATAATGCCAAGTTCTGCCAGGTTACATTTCCATTCATGGCTTTTATAGTTCCCTGACGGACCATAAACTGATCTCCGAAGCAACAATTTATTTATAATTTGAACCAGAAAAATCGATGACGATTCCAAGTAATCGATCAAGTGTTGGAACATGACAAATATAGGGCTCACAATTGTGTAACTGCAGACACTGATTAGACTCCATTAATCTTTTACATGATCTATTAAAGATTTCAGATTTCTGAGTTGATAAGAGAAAATATTAACTTTGTTATCGTGCTGTTGTGAAGATAACGTGGTGTAATTTCAACCTTGTATTATTGATTGTAAATGTAAAAAAATATCCCCTTATAGATAAGATTATTTCATCAGACATATATTTGAATTGTTTATACTGATGTTTTTTTTTTAAAATAAAATATTTGTTATCAAAGATATATCTATAGATATGAAACTGAAGAAATGAAGACAATCTAAAAGATTGTCCGTCTGGTCGGTCGATATTACATACAAGGCAAATTTCAATAGCTTAATTGTCAGAACTCTGCAAACTTCGTCATTTTCGGTATATGTGAGCCGCGTCACGACATAACCAACATAATGGTTTTGTGACCAGCATGGATCCAGACCAGCCTGCGCATCCGCGCAGTCTGATCAGGATCCATGCTGTTCGCTATCAGTTTCTCTACTTGTAATAGACATGGTAAGCGAACAGCATGGATCCTGATCAGACTGCGCAAAAGCGCAGGCTGGTCTGGATCCATGCTGGTCGCAAACCCATTATGTTGGTTTTGTCGTGACACGGTATTATTGTAATTACCTTTTAAGCGGTTGTGTTGACGAAACTCTTTTTGTGATTTTTGCATGATCATTATGAAAGCTTCTTTTTTTGCTTTGTTGAGACGTAGGCATTGGTATTATATGATTTTGATGAATGTGAATCTTTATCAACCTTAAGTTACCATAAATCTAGTCGTATCCGGGTTTATTATTATTATTTTTGTCTTTGTCTGGTGAAGTTATAGACATTTGTTTGCAAATAATGTGAAGCTAAAATGAGATACGATCAAGAGCAGGCGATATTATATTACATGGTAATTTTGATGCATCGCTAAATTTGACATTTTGAAAGCTTATTAACGCTACTGGCATGAAAGCAATCCGAATGTTAATTATGAGTCATTTTTTTGAGTAGTCTGTTTTAGACCTATATTACATGACACCCAGGGATTTTGTTTTAGACATGTTAACCCTTATGTATATCTTTATAGAACATTCATATATATCATGCGATATACATGCGATATCATCAATTTGATTGGTGCTTTTGATCTTAAGCAAAATTTACTGTACTCTTTTTCCCATCTATGTACAACTGTTTCTCATTATTGTGGGATAAAAACGTTATACGATAGTACACTTTAGTTTCGTTAAATATGTGCCTAGATTTTCCTAGATTTGATAAAGAAGACTGGTATGACAGTACTTACTATGTTTATAAACTATTTGTTGTAATTTTCAGTCCCTGTTCGCTGATTTGGACCATGACATGGACCAGGTGGTTTCACTAGAAGAGTTCCTTGATGAAATGTCGAGACCAAAGCCTAAACCTAGGACGTGAGTTGACTTCAGTTTTGTTCTATTTTTTCCGGTCCTTCGGTGTCATTGATTCCAAGGGACGCGAGAGATGCTGCAATTTTTCATTATCCCTCATGTACAGACTCAATCAAACCGAGTCTACAATTTTCATGTTAAATTGTTGTTATTAATCCTTTTTCAAGAATTTAATGTATAACTTTACAAGACATATCATGCAACATCCGGATATTGAGACCGCCCTTAAAACAAGACCCGTTGTGAAATGAATGGAATATGTTGTTTTCATTTAGAGCTGGCATGAATACTAAAACTGCGAACGTTTAAGATGTCAAATACATGTATATTCTACTTTTAGATTTTCTGTACTACTAAAAATATCAGAATATGTCAATTTAAAAAAAAATGAGGTCGCCCTGATGAACAAAAGAAAAACACTGATAATATATTCTAATATTTCAAATTAATGATAATTACACTTCATTAAACAGTGCACTGTTGCGAATTAGCACTTAAAAAGCAAATTGTTATTGAACCTGTCCTGTTAAAAGATCGCATGACGTATGTAAAGACAAACATGAATTGAATTAGTATGATTTTGTTTAATACATTTTTAAGAACCCTCTACTGGATCAACCCACGTGTCTTAACCTATGTGGTTTTAATTGCGAGGTGGTCTCATATGAAATAATAATAATAATATGTTGTTGTTGTTTTGTTTGCAGTGAGGAGTACTATAAGGAAATGTTTGCACAGTGTGACAAAAATAACGACGGTTATATTTGTTATGAAGATATTGCCACTTGTCTGCAAGAGAAAAACGTGCCATATCTAGAAGTTGAAATCATATATTTTCTGGAGAAAAATAAAGCTGGTCTTGATGAGAAGCTAGATTATTCAGAATTTAAAAGGGCGTTAAAACGCAATTAAAATCTTTGATTATATATAAAAATGTATTTTAAATATTGAAATTCTGTATTACTTTTTTTCACATGGAAAGTGTACATATACATATATACGTATAAGAGAATCATTTCTAATTCGAAAGACTCGTTTGATTTTAAATAAGTACATTTGGATGCAAAAAATTGAAATTGACAATCACTAGGTACAAAAGTAAAATTCATTGAAAGCGACACACCATAATTAAAATACCTCGAGCTTATAAAGGGACATTTCACGAGCGAACACTTTTTTTACTTACGTGATAAACATGTGATATTTGTTACTTTGGAAAAAAATATCATGCAATTAATTGACGTATAGTCGTAAAAATGCAAAAGGAATAAGATGTTTTGGTTGATGAAAACATAACTAGTTCTAATTAAAATAATACGTCTTGGTAACATATGCGTGTTTTTTTGTAACCACATCTTGAGTACCATTCGCTCTAAAAAAGTTGACTGGGTAATTCTAATTGGTCCTTTGGACGACCTTAATGTGTACTGTGAACAAGTCTTTCATTGAAATTTTAGTGCTTTACTTAACATTGTTGGATGTTAATATATTACTAATATTGTTAGATATAAGACCATATATTTTTGTGTCTAACAGATATTGCTAGACCATGGATTTTCGTGTAAGACCATGTATGCAAGTGCTTTGCTGATACGTTAAACCATGAATTTAATTTTAGAGCTTGTGTTTTATTGATAGTGTTAGAACATTTAGATTTTCTTGATTTACTAATATTGCTTTTTTGCTAGACTTAGACCATGATTTTTCGTGTTTAACTGTGACGTCAGTTAAAACATATGTTCGTGATAGATCACGGATTTTAGTGCTTTACTCACTTTGTTCTATGAAATGTTTTAATGAAATTGTTAGACGCTTTACTTATGATAGACCATTATGTTTATTGTACATTGTATGACCGTGAATTTCAGTGCTTTACTTATAGCAGGTATATTAAACATGTATATCCAACAATATCCCTGCTTATGGTGATAGATCGATCTCTGTGATAATTGATGTGGATTTCCATTCTAAAACATCACATAAGTAACCATACCACCTAAAATGGATTTGGATTGTTTTCACATGTACGTGTCTTTTGTATGTATGTATTCAATATTACTAGTATTTGTCCAACATATATTTGCAAAACGAATGAAATCTATTGATTTTACAGAAAATTCTTTACCGAAAAAAACAAACTTCATCGGAATAAACATGTTCTGTTTAATGTGTTTTAATAATATGCAAAGACAAATATACACAGTTCTTCTCGTTTTATCTATGTATATATATGGACGAATAAAATGCATGTACTTTATACTATTATTAGCTTCTCATGCTCAAACCGGAGAAACAATAAACGTTTTAACTAGTTTATTTAGTTTTTTTATAATTTTTGAATACATTGTAACTATAAAATTGTGATGCTCGTAAAAATTCAACACACTTCGTAACTTTCCGTACCTTTAACACTGCTACGAGAATGAAGCGGGCATAGTGGTCCTATGACTACAAATCCATCAAGGTGTCGCAAATTTCTCCACTACTCTAACTAAAACCACTAACAGTCTAAGGCTAGCAGAGCAAAAAGGAATACAGCCTTTATGAACTCGTGAAAATTCGACATAATTCGCAACTTTTCGTATCTTCTACACTGCTAAGAAAATAATCAGACTACAAATTCAATCAGGTGTCGCTAGTTTACTCTACTACTAAAAACTCAAACCACTAACTGTCTTTCAGATTAGAATTGAAAAACCGAGGTCCGATGTAATGGTGCTTTCGCATCTTATTTACACATTGCATATTAAATAACCAGTTGTTTCCACTGGAATTGAGTTATATTATCGTATCTTCAGTTTTGAATGAATTAAAACAAGATACATTTGTTAAACATGCATGCCCCCTATTGGCAGCCGATTAGTCATGTGGTCAGGTAATTGTAACTGACTTTTGACCTAGTGACCAAAAATCAATAGGGGTTATCTACTGGTCATGGCTAGTCACTAGGTTATTGTCACCGTGGGTTGTGTGCAGCAGTTTTATGACAAAGTTATCACAAATATTACCAAATAATATATGCATACATTTAATGAATAATGTAGGCCTTTTTAATGACAGCCAATTTGTTATATTGCATTAGACCTTGAAATGTGTATACCAAAAGCATTTTTAGTTAAATGAAAAATATCAACAAAGGCAACTTGAGTTGTTGAGTTATTGGTCGGAAACTGTCTTTACGTATAAGATCAATGTGACTTTGAGTTTTTGAGATATTGATCAGAAAGCGTTTTACCTATAAGGTCAATATGATCTTGACCCCTGGCCCCTTGACCACAAAAAATCCATTGAGGTCATCTTCTGATCAAAGGCAATTCATCCGTGACGTTTGAAGGTCAAGGGTCCATGGTTTGTCCAGTTATTGATAGGAAACAGTTTTGACATACAGGGTCAGTGTGACCTTGGCCTTTGACCTCTTAACCTCAAAATCAAAAAGGGTCATCTACTTGCCACAGGTCAATGTGACCTTGACATGTGATCTTGACCTGTGACCTCTTGATCCCAAAATCAATAGATGTCATCTACTGGTCATGAACAATCATCATACCAAGTTTGAAGTTCCTAAGCGTTCTTAAGTAATTGATTGGAAACGGTTTTTACCTACAAGGTCAATGTGACTTTGACCACTTGACCCTAAAATCAATAGGGGTCATCTTCGGGTTATGAACAATTATCATACCAAGTTTGAAGTTCCTAGGCCTAAGCCTTCTTAAGTTATTGATCGGAAACCATTTGGTCTACGAACCAACCGACCTACCGACCGACAGAATAACAGACAAATGCAAAGCAATATACCCCCACTTCTTTGAAGGGGGCATAAAAATAGTCTTCTAAAGTCAGTCGCCTACACAGATGGCAACTATCGTAAGAATTATTTGTCTCCATATTTCGAAGTATTATACACGGATGGTGACGTATTTATCCGAAGTTTAACTATCTATTGCTAGACAAAACAAGGAAGTGATTTTCTATTGGCGACTGATAACACTGCAAATAATCATAGACACGAAAACATGGAGTAGCTTCTAAGCAACGACAACTATGCAATGTTTTACAGAATATAATGGCCGTTTTTAATAACAGTAAGAAATCTTAATATAAAGTTACATATCTCCAGAGGAGTTAAAACATAAACAATCAAAATAAAATATAGATCTATAGTTTTACAAAAGATCAAATTAGCAGAATGACAAAATATGGAGTGTTTGATCATATTAATACTAACGGACTAAGCTTTATCCTGCATATTAATTTGATATGTTAGGCGCTAGACACACTGTATACACTATATTTTTACCTATAGTATATATGCGGATACGGGTATATTGAGTGTGTCTAGAGCACCTTTGGTAACATAACTTCTGTTGATAGTGTCGCAGGTTAAGTTCCATCACATAGTACATTTATTGACATTTAGCCACACTAAGTATGTAAGTATTCATCCGTAGCTGTTCTACAGAAATTAGAACCGGTCTCCTGTCGCTATCGCTCCCGTCGAGGTTTCTAATTTCTGTAGAATAGCACGGATGAACACTAAAACATATACATAGTACTCACATTGCTTCTGATAATTAAATGTGGCCATTAAAACCATATATAGCGAGCACGTAGAACCAAATACTTTTAAAACGACTGACATGGTAGTTATCCCATTACTGCATGGGCATTTTGTGAGAAATGGCTGTTTTCATTGAAAAGGCTCCCGTTACAAGTTAAAATTGCAATATAAAACTATAACAAGAGGGCCATGATGGCCCTGAGGTCGCTCACCTGTATATAGGCCCCCTGGAGCGGGGCCAGTTTAAACCCCAGGGCTTTTATTTGAACAAACTTGGAAGACACCCATTAGAAGATGTTTCATGATGTTAAGTTTTTACTACACACATATAATGAAAAACAATGATCACCCCCACCCCCGCAGGGCCAATTTTAACCCAAGGGCTTTTATTTGAACAAACTTTGTAGACACTCAAAAGAAGATGTTTCATGCTAAACATCTAAGCTCTAGCTCATTGGGTTTTTTAAAAGAAGATTTTTTAAGTTTTTACTGTACACATATAGTTAAAAACAATGACACCCCTGGGGCGGGGCCAGTTTTGACCCCAGGGCTTTTATTTGAACAAACTTTGTAGACACTTACTAGAAGATGTTTCATGCTTAATATCTTAACTCTAGCTATTAGGGTTTTTTCAAAGAAGATTTTTTAGTTTTTGCTATATTAAGGAAAATCAATGACCCCCGGGATGGGGCCAATTTTGACCCCAGGGCTTTTATCTGAACAAACTTTGTAGACACTCACTAGAAGATGTTTCATGCCTAATATCTAAACTCTAGCTATTTAGGTTTTTTCAAAGAAGATTTTTTAAGTTTTTGCTATACACATATAAGGAAAATCAATGACCCCCTGGGGCGGGGCCAATTTTGACCCCAGGACTTTTATTTGAACAAACTTGGTAGACACTCATTAGAAGTTGTTTCATGCTAAATATCTTAGCTCTAGCTCTTTGGGTTCTTTAAAATAAGATTTTTTAAGTTTTTACTATATGCATATAGGGAAATTCAATGACCCCCCGGGGCGGGGCCAATTTTGACCCCAGGGCTTTTATTTGAACAAACTTGGTGGAAACTCACTAGAAGATGTTTCATGCCAAATATCTAAGCTCTAGCTCTTTGGGTTTTTTAAAAGTGGATATTTAAAGTTTTTTTCTTTCCGTTGCCATGGCAACCAGAGTTCTGCATGGAATTAAATTCTTTGAACAATTTTTAAAGGTGACCACCAAAGGAACATTCCTGTGAAGTTTGGATGAAAATGGCTTAGTGGTTTATGAGGAGTTGTCATTTAAAGTAAAAGTTTACGGACGGACAGACGGACGCCGGACGAAAAGCGATCACAAAAGCTCACCCTGTCACTTTGTAACAGATGAGCTAAAAACAGCTTCAATACTAATCAAACTTTGCACTAATGTTAATTGGACCATTGCCTTTGTAACAACATGCTCAGTCTTAAATTTCCGGTTACCATGGCAATGAGGGGACATCTGAAAATTGCCAAAAATCACTATCTTGCGTTGATTTTTTCCATCAAAATTGATCTCAAAGTGCTGGAACTTCTCAATGATTGAGTCAAAGGCTTTTCCAGCGTTCGTTACACGTTACCTTAAGATCGACCTGCGGTCATTTTTAGGCTCTCACAAGTCCAAACTCTTCTTGGCGATGAGGCGGGCTACCGCCCCTTTCAAAGCCCCAAACATAAGGGGGACATCCCCCTTCTGGCAACCCCCAGATGTATCTTTTGGATAGAGGCGGCACCGAAAAAGTGGTCAACATTTCTCAAACAAAAACAAGTGTTGGGGGCCTAAGTAAGGCATTTTTATCAATTTGAGACAAGAAAAAGGGGGGGGGGGGGTGATGTATACCCGGTATATGGTAATGGGTTATTTCACAATTTTGTCTAGAGTGACGTTAAAGTTTTTACAGCTTTGTGAAGACAACTCAAGACCCTAAAATAAGACTTAACATGTTACTTCCCTTGAATTTCAAATAAAATTGAAATGGTAAAACGTATTGTTTAAATATTTCTATTGCAACTGAAATAAGTTGATTTTTTTCAAGTATAATGCCCTAATAATAACAAGCTCTATTATTTTTTTTTTTATTTGGCAGACAAAGAGGTCAATTATTTCATGACCTATACACTACTTTATAATTTATTAAGTATCATGTTTTCGAAGTGCTGCAGTAATGCACCAATATTTTGTTTCATTGTTAAACCAGCTTGGTGACATTTCAACCACTTTTCCAGGGCAGCATAACTTATATCACGTTTTTTTTTTGTTAATTTTAATCTATTGATATTCAAGAAAGAATATTTGACATCAGACATCCCCAGCCTATGTTACTAGTATATAATAACAGGACTAATTTCAGGTGCTTGTTGTCATGTTGATAAAAACTATAACACTTTCTTGCTCTATACAGCAAACAGGATTGCTTCTATAACATGAATATATACATACGGAATATTATGTTGTAGTAGCTTTCTGAGGCATTGTATTTTTCTACGAGCAGCGGTGGAAAATTGATATCTCGCGAGACCGAAGGTCGAGCGAGATATCAATTTTCCAACGTTGCGAGTAGAAAAATACATAGTCTCAGAAAGCTATTATAACATAATTTTCCTTTTATTATATACCTTTTCGTTTTATTCAGAAAATGAAATGGAGTTGTCAAGAAATAAATTCATGACTGACGGATGAATAAGTATTTATTGCAAACCGGCCACGCCTTTAATAATTTTGGTTCCCGTTTCCAAATGCAACGTTATACAAAGCTAAGATCGGAACCAACGTCAAAAATAGTCCGGCACTTCCATATATGGTACCGTATTTGTCACTAACATAATACGGAAATTTCTATCCGTTGAAGCGTATTTGCGCTTCAATATTTGCGTGTATTTTAGGGAGAAAATGTATAGGTATATAATAAATATGAAAAGACACAACAAGAAAATCCAATATATGGTTATACCATATGACAATTTATTTCCACTAATAAATTTACAACATATAATTATATATAAAATTGACGCTAACAATAATTTAATAATTCTATTCTCCACCCAGGAAAAAACCTAACCTCACTTCTTCACAAATAGGAAGATAAATTGAACTACAGTGCATTCTATATAAATTATGCGGGGCAATTTATTCGTACTATACAAAGTACGAAATTCCTTTTGTTGACAAGAAACTTACTGTCAATTATCTGGTTAGCTGTTGATATTTGACTCCTGAGTACAAACAACTACATACATGATTTTATGTACATACACATACTACTGTTTTGCACTCAGGGACAAATCAACTAAATGTATGATGCAATACCAGTCAGGACTTTTTTTACCATAAAAAATCCAAACAAATTACAATGTACTTTGTCAGCTGCTGGCAACGAATGACACATTAAAAATATGATGTTTTTGTATTTACATTTGTTGCCTGACAATGTATAAATGACAATTTGTATGTTGTTGCCAATCGCCGACAATGTACGAATGACAATTACTATGTTGTTGCCAATAGCCAACAATGTAAAGCCTATGGAAGACTGTATTGACAATATACATGTACATATTTTGTCATAGCTGACAACAACGACAGCTCATACAGCTGATAAATGACAGATTTTATACCTTTCCTACTTCAGTGTCATATACAATACAGATTTATAAGGAGAAATATAATGAAAGGATCCTTTCTACTCATCTATACTACCCCCCCATATCCCCATTCCCTGTTTCTAAATGATAGTTACAATAAGAAAATTTATAATCTTCATTTATTTATGCGTTCCATGATAATCTTCATATAATTGTACAATTATAAAATTTAAAAAAAAATGAGAAAAAAGAATCCTTTCACAAAAATTCGGTACACATAAAATTGATACAGCAAAACTATTTACAAGGTAATACAGTCAACACGACATCAACTTAAACCCATACATACTTTGTACATATCTATTTTTTAAATAAAAAAAATTCAATTATGTTAAAAAGATCATGTGCCAAATAATCAATAAATTTAACTTTTTTTGTTAATAATATTTTCTATTCATCTTGTTTGTAAACAATTATAGTCAATGAAACTTTCATAAATGAATTTAAAAAAAAACTATATATCTGTATAAACATTTTGTGAAACTTGAACACAACGTTTATCACTAATCAAATGTAATTCAATTTAAAAAAAAGTCAATGTGAAAAGGTGCTCTATCAAATCTATGAATACCAAGCAAAGATATCAAATATTACAAGCAAATATCATATCATCAAAACACTTGTTTGATGATTTTCCTTCTTTCTGACTTTAAACAAGTAAATGTCACAATGTAAACTCCTCACAACACACCTGTTTATGTGCTGTATTTTATTTCAGAACTGGTAAAATATTCCCCCAGTTGTCATGAACTCGACAAAATAAAAAGATAAATAAATAGCCCGACATAATCAATACACATATACTGCAGTAAAAAATTACGTTTAGGATCTGACTTGACCTCTAACACGAGATTCAAATCCAATGGGCAAGAACACATGATGTATAAATGCACATGAAACTTTTAATAAGTACCTTTAGGCAATCCATAGTTCGTAAAAAAAATTTTGACCAATTTCAAACATTCCTGTATTCAATATCTTTATGGTAGGCAAAGAATATACAAGTTCATTCTTTCAGGTAATATCAAAGTAAATATATTTTTGATTGAGCCTCAATGTAAAGGCCATACAGCAACTTTTCAAGCAGAAGAAGACCTCTAGTGTCCCTTTGTGAATTATTTCAGGCAAGAATACGTAGAACCGTTTACCATCCATAAGCAAACTTCATCACATAAAAGAAACTAAAATTCATGCTGGAATTCAAACCCGTAGCGGTGATAGGAACGTGATTTGAAATCGGCAATCTTAATTACTCGGCAACAAAAGCCTCTGAGCTAACAGCATATTAATTAACTATACAGGAAGTGACAGGATAAGTCCAATTTTCAAGAACAAGCTATGGATTACCTTAAAGCACAAAAATTATGTGATATATGAAATCAATGCATTAATATATGTATCAGAATTATATTAAACTTTTAATGAAAAATTACAATGTTTGTTCAATAAGCTACAGAAAATAAAAACAAACTTTGTTATTGTCCGAACATACGTTCATTAAAATGCAGACAACTCTTTTGTTTTGATTAAATGACACAAAATCATGTAAATCTTAGCAATGTAAAAAGAAAACTGATGTAAAACTTCATAAAGTCCTCACATCGAAATTTATAATTTGATTTCATTTATTATTCATTTTTAATCAGTAAAGTAGAAAAAAGCTGAAAAATCGTATAAAAATGCTTAAGAAAACCAATAAAATCATTACAAATCATATTTCAAAAATCTTGAATCATAAATCATCTAACTTGATATACATTAAACTTCATTAAATTGCACAATTTCACAGAAAAAACATACATTCAGTACAATATATAAATGAAAAAAGAATATTTTACATCAATGTTACGATATTTGTAGTTGATCAATTCACTTCCTATCCGGCACTATTTGTCAAAGTGAGGCTATCCAAGCTCCTGGTGGGCCACGTTACGTCTTTGTCATCAATTTCAAATACTGCAAACAGAAATAAGTAAGATTTTGATTCATTTTCAACAGTTTTTAAGCAAATAACAGTTGTTAATTTTCCCAGGTTTTTTTAAACACATGGGCATGGTCAGATTTGATTTACCATGGAGGAAAGAGAAACATGAATGCCACTTTGTTTATTATTTCGGACACAGGTCAGCTCCTAGGGAAAACAACAACCATCACTTGTTTAACTACATGTATAGCATCTTCATTATCTATTTAAGGAAATCTAATTCGATCAAATTATCAAGGTGTTCCAACACTTTAAACCAGTAATAACATCTTTCTTCTGCATTTTTTCTTCTTCTAACTTCTCTACAAGGACAAATTTAATCAGCAATTAAGGACAAATAAAAACCAACTTTAAACTACAATGTATATAAATACAGACAAGAGCTGTCGGTAGGACAACAATGCTCCACTATCCATAGTGCTTGATAGTAAAAGAGCCTTATGATGTAAAATTTTCTGAGTGAACAAAAGGGCAATTTTTTTTTAAATCCATGTTACAGTTATAGGCCTTGGAGATAGTCCTTTTATGCTCTCAAAAAAAGAGTATAAAATTTCAACTTGTTTTAAATCCAGATGTCAATAGAATATGAAAATATCTGAGGTGGTATGCAAACTAAATTCTAAGTTATATTATTCTAAATTCTAAGGGGAATTATTCTATCAAAATGCTTCATCGTGTTACCTCCTCCAGTCGACAGGTTTGGGGTCAACAAGTTGATGGTAAACAAGTGTGCAAAGATTCAAAGCCATATATCAATGGACTTTGAAAATATTTGAGTTTTTACAAAACTTTAATGCAAATTCTAAGTCAAAAAAGGGGCATAATTCTGTCAAAATGCTTGATACAGTTACCTCCTCCTGTCTACAGGTTGGGGCCATGATGGTGAACAAGTGTGCAAAGTTTCAAAGCCATATGGACTTGAAAACAAAAAACAAAAACTTTAACATAAGTGGTTACGCCAAAGCTCGGGTGACTACAATAGCTCTACTTGTTCTTATCAAATAGTTGAGCTAAAAAAAATTAGATTTCTACATACCCAATTATGTGAACCTATGGTTTGCAGAGCTCACAACCCTTTTACTATACCCAACAAACTCGTATGTGTTATTTACCTACAATATAAGTTAACAATAACAAACCTGTAGAGAATGGTGGGCAGCGTTAGCATGGGCCTCATCAACTGTAGGTCCTGTGCCATGACACACTGCTACTGGCATAGTAGATAATTGTACCAGACATTGATGCATTCCTGAAATAATCATTTACAAATGTATTTCCGTTACAACAATATTTTTAACGCCTTATCGATATTTTTTATTGCAAATATCTTTCCCAGACCTTCATAGTTGATTACTATGTTTGTTATTGAAAATTACACACTTAACTAAGGTAAAATTCAATAATAATAATAATCTTTATTTCATAAAAACTGCAAAATAGTAAGCATATTCACACCTTTTCAACATTTCTACAACCGTTCTATTTTTCCGTAATATTTTCTATAACATTTGCCTGCAAGTTACATCTTTAAGTGTTATTTTTGCCAAATTTGGAGTTTCTTTTGTAATGAACACATACAAGACTCATATTTTCAAGTTAAGGATATTTACCATATGCACTAAGTTCTGGAATATCTGTGTATAGAACTTCAAAGCGTTGGGCCTCGGCAATTTCCTGTAACATCTGGCAGTAATTGGTAGCTGGAGCATTAAGAGGTTTACCCTGCAAGTTCTTTAATTGCTTTGAGCTTTTCTTCATTACAGTCTGATAAAATTTCTGTAAATAATCAGATACAATTATAAAGTTTAAATTTCTTACACACAATGTATAGCAAAATATTTGTATCTATATCCACTAACATGATTTGAGCTGACATATTACATTATATACTGAACATTATCAGACAAAACTGCATATTGTTATGTTAACTATGACGATGTATAGCCAATAGTAATGTTATCTCTCATTTTGCCACACAAAATTAACCATTAACATCACATATGTTTAGCTGTCATCATCATTGTGAAACATGTTAACCAAAATGCAAGACCAAAAACACAAGATGTTGCTGGCTTTTATACATTTAAAATGCATTGCACATTTTAATGCTAGATATTTCACTTATATCATATGTCACATACAATTTTTAACCTCTTCAATGAAACTTGATTTTATAAAACATAATGATACAACAAATATTTCAACATAAAATAAACAGGCCAAGGTGCTGATTCCTTCCTTTCTAAATAACACCAAACTGACCAAGTTTATAGAGTTGGTTACTTCACTCAGAGTTACATTATTAACTTATCTTGTCATGAACACATTGTCTGTCCCACCAAGTCACATAATATCAACACATCTTATAACACTCCCCTTTATACTGACAGACAAACAAGGAAGTTACATGCACAATTTCTTTATAAATTAAATGCAGGGTTGTCACTAAAATATATTTTTGAGATGGTCCCCTGTCATATCTGGTTTTTATATCATACAACAGAGAGTGTTTCCTAAATTTTGAGGTCACTAAAAATTTATTTGAGACAGTCATTTTGGTGTACAGCTGCCGCTTTATGACAAGCTTGAAGAATGGTGTTTAATATGACATGAGTGTAGATCAAACATCTATATAAAGTAAATTTCACTAAACAAAATCTTCAGGCTACATCTGTTGCGAACAATTACAGTTGACCAAACTACATACAACTACTGGTTACCTGAATTTCTTTGTTCTGCTTAGGGCTAAGTACTGGTACCTTCACTTTCCCCTCCTTGAGAGATGTATACGACGCTTTCAGTGGTTCCATACTCTACAAAACACGGGAAAGTTCAGATATTAGTAAACTCACCACTAAGCCTACCTGTCATTAATACCAGTTTACCTAACAATACAGTCTAACTGGAAGCAGGACTAAGGCAGTCACTTTTTGGGGTTCTCTTAGTAAGGCTAATTTTAGACTATAATCAAGACTGAATGTAAACAAGGTTCTTAATATATTATAGTTTTAAAGGGTAATCTTTTACATAATACTATTAACCTGAACTTAATATTGGCCTACTTTCTGTCTTATTTATTATTGTTGTACGAGATATGAGCATTAAAATATAGAAACTTTCACAAAGGCAAGTGTTCCTCACAGTCAGCATTCATAAAGTTAAAACAATTTCTATTTGTTAAAGTACAATATCAATTTTTACAAAAAAATCAAAATGCATTTTGTGTGCATCAACAAATTTCAATAAAGATTTTAAGATAAAAAGGAGCATAACTCCAAATTTCTTTCATAATACTGTTCCAAGCTTAAGAACTGTACGACAAACAGCATCCCACGCTGCTTCAAGTTGACACCATTTATAGTTTTGAAATCATACTACTTAAAAGACAATTTTTACAAAAATTATGTTAGGAGGAATAACTCCTACAATATATAGTTCTCAAGTTTCATGTCGATATCTTTAAAATTGTTGAGAAGTGGACTGTATTAAGGTTTTTGCACAACAATGCAGCAATCTAAATATGATTGAAAGAGAGGAGCTCAAAACAGTCAAGCTGTATACAAATACAGTAAAATATCTAAACTGTGTTACAGTAAAAGTGTTACCAGGAAACCAGTTTCAGACATGGCACACATTCATTTGCCAGGTGAGTCTTATTTAAATGTTGGGTTTATACTGGAAATGTTAGTTCAATCACCAACTTTTATGACTTAACCCTTTACCTGCTGGATCCAAAATTGGTTAGCCTTTACCACCAGTATAAAGCCAGGCCAGGCTGCACATCCATGCAGACTGACCAGGCTCTATATACTGTTAGTTGCTTAATTTAATTCTGTATTTAAATACATTTTTAAATCCCTTTACATATAACTTCGAATTGACTGTTTACAATTTAAATCAAGTCAATCCATTATACACATTCAGCAGGTAAAAGGTTAACAATCAACTAGGTTATAAGGTCTACAGAAAGATCAAGCAGGTGTTCTATATAGGAACAGTGTTATATTTAATCACCAGGGGAATATCATCATCTTCCTCCTCCTCGATCACTGCATTGCCTCCCTCTTCAACAAGTCCCTTTATATGATTTAACATATTCTGCGCCGCTATTCTCTTTGCTGTTTTCTTTGAACGGGCAGAGCCTGAAAGTTTCACAATAAGTTAACAAAATCAGTCATATCATTGGTCATTAATGATTTCCAATGTTTTTTAATTAACGGCATATTTCTTTAAATAAATATGGTTCTAAGCATAGGTCCTGAGGTGACCTTGTAGCATAATTGGTGGAGAAATCCCTATGACAACCATAACTCCTTGTTACCAGTCAGCACTCTAACCAGAATGTTTGGAGAAAAACACAACAACAAAACAATTATATAATTGTTAGTTCGACAGTTAATATGACCCGTAATAAATTTTTCTAGCTTACATGACTTCAGCTACCAGTCTCGGGTTATAATGGTAACATTCCACTAAACTTGAAGTGAGATGATATAGTGACTTTGGTACATGAAATACCTTCATAAACAAACAAAATGTTAAGTCAAGATCAAGACGAGTCACAGGACAAGTTTAGTAATGTACCTGTTTCCTGGATTTTCCCCAGTTTCACAATGCACACAAACTCTTTCTGATGTGGAGGTCCCTGTTCACTGGTAAATTCATATATAGGTGGCTTCATCAATTTCTTTTGTGTCAGCTCCTGGAGTTCTCCAACAGGGTTACCAACTCCATCCCCCTCTACTGCTCCTGGACTTGGGGTGCTGAAAAATATATTAATAAGAGCTCTCTCTAGAACTTCTAAGTAAATAATTGATAAAAAACAGGAGTAATTTAGATAAAGATGGATATGAAAATGTTTGGTTGTTGAACTACAATTATGATCCTAAAAATCTACTGGTATTTCAACTGAATACCTTCAATGGTTTATGAAATATGAAAATAGTTTAAACAAGTCAAAGAATAAGCCAGAATGAATAGGATTACTTTGACGTTCTTCAAATAATCAGTCATTTTGCTGGTCTAATTTTTTCACTAATTTAACTACGGAGTTAAACTGATATTATTTATAACATTTCTAACATATAGTAATGTGATCTGGAGCAAGCGTAATATTGTCACCTCATATAAAAAAAAATAAAAATTCGCTTTAGATATAGGTAAATCAAAAAGTAGTAAACTTAAAACATAAAATGTATTCTAAAAATTTTGAAAATCTACTTTAAGATATATGGGTTACTTAAGTAAATATCTAAAGCATCATGAAAAACTCCCGCTTTCTGCCCATATTTCAAAAGATTTTTTCTTAAAAAAAGGGTATTTTAAAAAGTTAAGAACTCCCTAACTTTGTCAGAATTCCTTTTTGTTTATGAAAATTTCTAAATCTCCCTCTTTTTGAAAAAAATTCCTATTTGATCATCAAAAAAAATTCCATGTATCTAAAGGGCCATACAATTCCCCCTAAAAATATAAAGGCTAGTTGGATTTGATCATGTTTATCTTAAAAATAAACCCCCAAAACAAAAACAAAATAGTGTTTTTGCGACAGCATGGATCCAGACCAGACTGCGCATCACTTTCTCTACTTGTAAAAGGGTTGGTAAGCGAACAGCATGGAGCCTGATCAGACTGCGAGGATGCGCAGGCTGGTCTGGATCCATGCTGGTCGCAAACGCATTATGTTGGTTATGTAGTGACGCGGCTCAAATAAAGTACAAACTTACATATTGTTAACAACAGCATCTCCACCAGCTCCTGCCTGTCCATTAGCCACTCCAAGCACTTGATTCAAGGCAGCTTGAGCTGCATTGTGTTTTGCTTTCTTCTTACTTGATCCTGTTTAAAAATACACAATAGCTACTCTGATGAAACTTGATTACACAAGATATGTTTGTAAAACATGTATGCCCCCTATCAGCAGCCAATTAGTCATGTGATAAGGTTATTATGCATGACTTCTGACCCAGTGATCAAACAATTAATAAGGGTTATCAAGTATCTACTGGTCATGACCTTAACCTTTGACCCCTTGACCCAAAACTCAATAGGGGTCATCTGCTGGTCACGACCAATCATCATACAAAGTTTGAAGTTCCTAGGCCTAAGCGTTTTTAGTTAATTGATCAGAAACCGTTTTTACCTACAAAGTCAATGTGACCATGACCTTTGACCCCAAAATCAATAGGTCATCTGCTGGTCATGACCAATCACCATACCAAGTTTGAAGTTCCTAGGCCTAAGGGTTCTTTAGTTATTGATCGGAAACCGTTTTAACATACAAGGTCAATGTGACCTTGACCTTTGACCCCAAAATCAATAGTGGTCATCTGCTGCTCATGACCAATCACCATGCCAAGTTTGAAGTTCCTAGGCCGAAGCGTTCTTTAGTTATTGATCAGAAACCGTTTTTACTTACAATGTCAATGTGACCTTGACCTTTGACCCATTGATCCCAAAATCAATAGGGGTAATCTGCTGGTCATGACAAATCACCATACCAAGTTTGAAGTTCCTAGGCCTAAGCGTTTTTAAGTTATTGATCAGAAACCGTTTTTACTTACAAGGTCAATGTGACCTTGACCTTTGACCCCTTGACCCAAAACTCAATAGGGGTCATCTGCTGGTCACGACCAATCATCATACAAAGTTTGAAGTTCCTAGGCCTAAGCGTTTTTAGTTAATTGATCGGAAACCGTTTTTACCTACAAGGTCAATGTGACCTTGACCTTTGACCCCTTGACCCCAAAATCAATAGGTCATCTGCTGGTCATGACCAATCACCATACCAAGTCTGAAGTTCCTAGGCCTAAGGGTTCTTAAGTTATTGATTGGAAAGCATTTTTACCTACAAGGTCAATGTGACCTTGCCCTTTGACCCCTTAACCCCAATATCAATAGGGGTCATCTGCTGGTCATGACCAATCACCATACCAAGTTTGAAGTTCCTAGGCCTAAGGGTTCTTTAGTTATCACTCGGAAACCATTTGGTCTACGGACCGACAAGTGCAAAGCAATATACCCCCTTTTCTTCGAAATGGGGGCATAATAATGTAAAAGGTTTGAACTTTCAAAACGATAAAAAGCTAATGAATTTCAAAGTATGCAATTAGTTTTGCTTGTTTAATATCAACAATCAAATTGTAAATAAAGCCAAAGAGAAAATCCTGCAGTGTAATAATATAACATGATCTGTGTGACATGGCATCAGCTTCCTACTGCCAAATGATGTAATTATGATTTAAAATGTCAACAATAAACTCGTTTTTGACTGACCCCAATATAAATAGGGTCCAGTCATGACCTACCTTCATACAATATCCTTCTCTTACTCTTAGGACTCTAGCTATTGGTTAGACAAGATGAGGTATATAGATGAACCTACACATGTATGGATGACAGACATTAAACAAAGCAATTTTATACCATTTTTAAAGAGATGCATTAAATTATAATTACCTTTTCCATTAGCACTGATTTCACCAACAGTCACTCGCATAATAAATGTGGGTTCATGAACAGCCCCTTCATTTGCAACTAGATCATACTGTGGTGTTATACCTCTTTTTGTACATAACTCTTGTAAGTAGCTAATAGGGGTCTTGCCCGGTGGAACTGCTGCCATAATCTGAAACATTTTATGATATAATGTAAACTTGAAAAATCTTAAGGCACTGACCTGGATCTGAACCCCAAACCACTCAATTACAAGGAGGACAATCAACATTTGCAAGTGAACGTTTGGGTCGGGCAAGAATTTTTTTTATATCAAACTCTCCCAATCCAAACGATGTTTCTCTAAACATTTAATGTAAAAGAAGTTTTTCTGTAAAAAAAATCAAACAGCAGAATCCATTTCAATCGTAATACTGTCAAATGAAAACCGGATATTGACTTTATGACTAGGTATAAAACTTTACTGAACACGTATGATGAATCAATTCCATAATAGCAGCATTCGACAATGTTTTACACATACACCTTCAGTAATGTTTTATTCTTAGCCATGACGTCGTTAGAATTTAACAGGATTTTCCAAACTCAGTGGTTCCCTCTTTGCTTCCCTTCACTGAGCGTAGCCAATCAAATCTTTGTGACAAGTTTCATGACTTCCAGAAATATGTAGAGCACTCGGCTGATATGTTGAACACCACCACCTTATTTGTTGTTCAAAATACCTGCATTAACTTATTTATGAAGTGCAAGAAATATTTGGTTATACATGTATACTGAACATGTTATGCTTGATATTGAATCATTAAAGCTTTTCGCGCAATAGGTATCACCTACTTTCATATTATGAATTATGGATTTTGACTTGAAAACCATAAAGATTAGTTATTTTCCTACTTTTATAACAGACACCGAAAAAAAGGCCTCTTCCAAATTGAAATTTTCTTTAAAATCATGCAGTGTTCCCAAAAATCTGAACTTAAACCAGCTTATCTACTTCCCAAATTAGCAATTTTAGCGATAATTTTCCCCCAAAATCAAGAGGCTAAGGTCTCTTCCCAAATAAGTGAGAAAAATCACTGAAAATCCTCGGGCACTGACTGGAATTTGAACACGAAATCTCTCTATGACAAAATGCACATTCAACCACGTAGTTCTGTCTTAAAAAACATAATTTAAATACTCATTCGTGAATACATATCAATCTTTACCATGTATTCAGAAAACAATGACCAAAAATATACGTCGCGAAAACATGTTACTTTGAGACGATTCGAAAAAATGACCTTGGCTTCCAGACAATGCATAAATTATTAAATGAAATATATGCAAGTTTCCACGTACATTTGAAATAACTGATTATAAAATTATCTTACAATTTGTTCTTTGTTACGATGTAAAACTGGGAAAAATCCAAAAATGGTGCGTGGTGTTATTAATTGCTGCGCATGCGTATTGACATGCCGGTATGACAAAAGTGCGAAAAGATCCTAAAAAAAAAACAAAAAATAAATAAATAAATAAAAAAACGAAAAAACGAAAAAAAAAATGAGAACAAAGGGGCGGCCCTGTCAAACGTTCAGAGTAGTCCCCATAAAAAAGTGTCATCATTTACCAACAATAACATATCATTGGTATCATTACTTAACCATTGCCATCAATGGTACCACGGATGAACGGATTTTACTATTCCTTGGCCATATAACGAACATTGGGACAATAAGGGGAGCGGTGGTTAAGTAGTTAAGTTGTCTGCCTCTCAAAAGGGTGGTGGCAGTGTTGGAAGTTTTCATTCCCAATCACGACAGTAAAGAAATCTGGAAACAAAGTGATCCCTCGGAAGAATTAATCACAACAAAATCACAAGAGAATTGCAGACTCGGTTTGATTGAGTCTGTACATTAGGGATAATGAATACGTGCAACATCCCTCACGCTCCTTAGCACCGGCTTGAGCGGTACTCAATTCTCAACACTTAATAGTGTTGGCACCAATGATCCCGAAGGACCAGAAAAATATAACAACACTGAAGTGAAGTACGGGCTCGCGCAACCTTTTACAACCGGGCAACATTTTACAGCTGCCACACAGCGCTTGACACCTGCTGTTGTGAAGTATAAAAATCTGGAAACAAAGTGATCCCTCGGAAGCATTAATCACAACCAAATCACAGACTCGGTTTAATTGAGTCTGTATATTCAAATCACCAGAGCAGAGTTCAACCACCGCATCGTTCCTGTGCAGGCTGTCGAGCAGTTTACCTGGTCTAGTTGCCTTCACTTTCCCAAGGAACTGAAACTTCTGTACATACCAGAGCGGAGGTACAGTGCCAATGACCGTATAAAAGATTTCATGATCAATTGCAACGAATGTGACCTGTGCCGTCTAGGAATTGAACCCAGGGCGCCCGATTCACATTCCAAGGCTCTACCTATTGAGCTAACTGGACGGCTTTCTCAACCACGGGATTATACAAATGTAGATTTCGAACCCTAATTGGGTCATCAATACGTTTCCTAATATGACACCAGTATTGGTTATTCTGGACTAGTATTGGTTATTCTGGACTCGAAAGTGTAATAACTTAAACATTTCGCAACCAAGTTTGAATAAATATGTTTAAACCAATTGGGACAATATAATAAACATGTTTGTTTGTTTCATTTTTGCCCCTTTTCCCAACAGTATTTCAGTCATATAGGCGGGTAGTTTCCTAACCATCGTTCCTGGAGAGTTACGCAAGTACTAGGCTACCTTCCTCCACGCTAAACTACTAAAGCATCTCCCGGGGATCGAACCCACGCCAGAGAGGTAACTGGATTAGAAATCATCGACTCTAACCCCTCGACCACGGAGGCGGTTATATAAACATTGGTACCAATAGATTAACTCTGAATGTATTCAGCATTGACAAGGCTTAAATAATGATGAGGTCATTCAAAAATGGTGATTCTGGTATTATTGGTAAAACCACACATGCATATATTATGAATGCACCAAATGTTTCTTTTATTATTGAAAAGTAATGGGATTTTGTCAGAATTATTCAAGTTGATCGAGAAATGAGAATCATATGATTTTGAATATTTTGATATGAAAATATCTTAATTATAAGGTTGAACGAAATTAACCTTTGCAACGTTTTTTCATTAGCCGAATTTTATTTATGGTTTACGTCAGCAATAAACATCTATTTATTGGTCGCTTCTAACTTTGGTGGTAATTGTTTTTGTCATATTTTCTGGACATTTTGGGCATTCTGTATTCCGTTGACACAGAGATCACATGTTTGAAAATCAAAACTTTCCCACCCTTCCCTCCCAATTAATGTGTTGATAGTTAATATGATTTATAAATATAGTTTAACGCTAACATTTAGCGCATCTTTACACTATGTTTGTATAACGCTAATGACGTCACGTCAAAATATATGCACGGCCGTGCAATACCATATTTACGGAGTCGCAAAATCGGCACGGGTGTGTGATAAATTCCGATCTTACACTGAACTAAACAAATATCCTCTATATAAACTGTACCCAGCAAACACAAGACGTCATACTGACGTCAGATTTAAGTCAGGTTCTGACGTCGGATGACGGTCGGAAAAACGGTTGGATTTGAAAGTTTTTTTGACGTAATTATCTGACGTCAGGTAGACGTCAGAATCTAACCAGTATTTAACCTTTTTCTGACCAAAATCTGACCATTATCTAACCATTTTCCGACCTCAATCTGACCATTTTCCGACCTCAATCTGACCATTTTCCGACCTAAATGTAACCAGTTTCTAACCATTTTCCGACCTCAATCTGACCATTTTCCGACCTAAATATTAACCCTTTTCTGCCCTAAATCTGATCATTTTCTGACCTTCATCTTATCATTCCCCTAATCCTTTTTGTTTCACCACGTCATAAATATTTTCTGGCTTATCCTGATTTGATCTAATTTAATGTAACTCATTCTATTAAGTAACTTTCCCTCAAATGAAATGTATAACAGAAAACTTAAAGCAAAAATATGTTTCATGCTTTTTTAATTTAAGATAAAAGTTGCAATTTTAAGCTGATACATACAATTTTAGTAAATTCTGCAAGGTTAAATAATTTTCATAAATTAAACAAAATAAAACATAAAATAAGTTAATTACAAAACAAAAAGTATTACAAAAACAATGACATAAATGAAACTAAGAAAACATGTACAAATATTAAAGAACAAAACAATGTATGCACATTTCTATCAAAGTTTGCCTTATCAAATAAAACAATTTAAATATTATAATTTTAAGAAAAGTTAAAAGATTCTGATAATAATGTTTCAAGCAATTTATGACAGATTTTCAGTACTTTAACTATATTTCTACAGCATTTCTAAAACATTTAGTGCCATTTCGCATATTTTGACCTCCTTTGATAATTGTCAGTAACGTATAAATTGCTGCCTTTTAGCTACTTCACAAAGTTATACTTTTAGATATCCATGAGAATTAGCACGAATTTGAGGTGTGATGCTTTAAGATATGACATTCTTTCAGCACACCTCGTCTGTCCGGAGGATATGTAGCGTTTGTAGCGCCCAATAGCGTGTGTGACATCATTTTCACTGAAAAAAAAAGAAATTTATGAAACATGTAAAAATAACAAGCAAAAATGTTTTCATGGTTATCTTAACTTAATGAACAATTTTGCCAGCTTTTTATAAGAGAGCTTTAACAAAAATTAAAAGTAAACATAAATACTGAACATTTAAAAAGCCGCTTTTAAACTCCAGTTTAGTACGGATTAAAGTATGTAATAGAATTTACAAAAATCTTACTTTCATATGTTTCTTTTTACATATTCACGTGTTTCCGTCCCTCCGACCTTTGAGAGCATGTCCAACACTTTAACTCCCTGAAAAGAAAATTATATTCTAACTTATGTATATATTCTACGTTTGAAATAGAACAGTTACGCAAGTCTTAAATATTTCATAGTTTTAAATTAAAGATTTAATGCCGAAATGTCTGGAACCAAAACGTCTTGCGTTATTTAGGACCGAAACGTCTTGGTCCGAAATGCTCGAAATCGTACAAATTCATTCTCAATTCTCAGATTGTAACTGACAAAAACATCACAGTTTAAGAAAAATATGAAAACTAAGCATTCTCTTTGGTAGTACTGAAAGGCATATTATAAACTCTTCACAAGCAGAGTTAAAACATGTCAATTTTAAAAAGATTTATTATTAGACATTATCGCGAATTTGTGTGACATTTTACTTCAGCTGTTAAAATAATGATAATTAAATTTAAGAGTGCTTGCAATCATGCAATTATTTATCAAATACAAAGTAGAAATAAATCTAAATAAATTGAACTGACCTTTTTGTTCAAGAAAATCTGTAATATTCACTTATCAATGCATCCCGATTCCTGACCGACAGCCAAAACGTAACGCCTACGAATTTGAATTTCCATCCACGTGACTTTAGATTCGAATTAAAGGTTAATTATGTTTTCTTTCCCTTTTCTGTCACTATGATTAAATGTTAAAGCACTATTAAAAACTCGTAATTTTGATACATATAATGTACCACAAATGATAATATTACAACGTTAAATGATTGGAACTTGTAAACAGATCTGTGGCTATAAATAGATTTCATAACAATAACACATGTAACTTGCGTATATACAGCGCCACCTATATGTTTTATTAGGTTGCAGCGCCGCGATCTTGGTCTGTATTTATATAAGAAAACATCATTTGTATTCCAAATAACATTTGAAAAAAAGTTTAAATGATTACAACAGCGAATAAGGATTATGTTTTGTTATTTTTTTACCTACCGTCAGGACACCGACCATAACCTGACGTTAGTACGACGTCAAAAAGAAACGTCTATTAGACATCGGTATTTTAACGTCAGATTTACGTCGTATTTTGGTCGCCGACGTCGTGACCAATATCTAACATTAATCCGACGTTATTTTAACGTCATGTGTTTGCTGGGTAATGTGGTTGTGTTATTGATACAAACATATGTGAATTTGATTCATGTAATTTCATAATTGCCTAAAATAATTTCATATGACTAAAATTTTCTTACATTTTTTTTTCTGATTGATAACTGATAATTTGCTGATGTTCTCACCCATGGGCATTTGGGCGGAGGAACGTAAGATCTCTGAACACGTGCATACACACTAAAATCTTTGTGACTGTGATGCAAGAATACTGGACCTGATTCTATTCATTGAAAAATGTTATGTCAGGTATTTAATTCTGCTAGAAAAGTCACATATTTGACATGAAAACTCTGCTTTATGGGTACTGTTTATGTCATTATTATAGGAAAATCAATTGTATAGTCCGACCTACTTATATTGATTGATAATTTTATAGTACTGCAGAGCCGATATACCCATTTTCGAAGAACGATAAATTGCGACACAAGTAAACTTCGTGCTCTGTTTTTAAGTGTGACCTAATAGTTGAAAGGGAGTACACGAATAAGATAGTTTTGATTTATTTTCACTCAAGTACATCAGAAAATGGGAGGTAGTAAAAGAGACAAAAGAGACAGAGGTAATTTTATACATCTATGAAATGTCCATAATTTCGGATATGGATTATTATAGGGACATCAAGTATAAAATGCGGTTCAGTAGTGTCCCTAAAATAATCATAAATATTTGAATTGTTTGGTATTTACTAAATGATTACTCTCAATGTTATTTATTATACAAAAACACAAAAGAAACGAGTACCACTGTTAATTAACGGGTATCACTAAAATACGGAACGGAGATTTTTTTGGCGCAACGGACGCAACGGGCGCAACGGAGATATATTTTTTTTAGAAAAACCAACACAACGCCTTTTTTAAAGTCAATGTGCTATATTTAAGCATTTAGAATGATTGTTTATAACTATTTAGTAAGTAAGTTTTAAAATATTTCATAAATTGTATATGTTAAATTGCACTGAAGAGTCATATGCTTTGCGAAATGGAAATTTCATGGCGCAACGGAGATATTTTTTTTCTCAGAAAAACAGACACAACACCTTTTTTTAAGTCAATATGCTGTATTTGAGCATCTAAAATGATTGTTTAGCAATATAAAGTAAGTATGATTTCAAATGTTTCATAAATTGTATATGTATACACTGAAGGATTATAACATGCCTGGCGAAATGGAAATTTCATGGCGCAACGGAGATAATTTGGGAAAATCGGCACAACGTTTGAACTATTGTACTATTATATGAAATTAATTAACACCAATGTTATTTGAATAAATAAATTTAAAAAAGATTTAAAAACCTTAATCGTATAATCAAAGAGATGCAATATTCATTTTGTAAAGGAATGTGTGCCGGCGAAATGAACATTTTGTCTGCGCAACGGAGATTTTTTTTTTTTTTTTTTTTGGCGCAACGGAATTTAAAAAGGAAACAATGTTTGTCCGAATTAAGTAGTAATATGCAGAAGTATATCATTTAAGATATTAACTGAATTACTGAAGTGGTGTAATAAATGTCTGTTTTATTCATTTAAAAATAGAATGAAATACGTTTTTATCGTTACGGCTGACATTGGAAGACAAGTATAGATTTTACTATCTGTTTCATTTTTTCCCCGTTCAATTCGTTATTTTTACGAAAAGTAATCTTATAGCTTTTCTGTACATAATTTTTAATTGAATTTGCATTAGTATATTCTAAATAAAGTAATATGTTGATATTACAGAATCAATGTTCAGTATTTTTTTATTATAAACATTCATTGTATTTTTGTTATACCTTTCATAAACTCCGTTGCGCCGATGGATTATTGCGAAACGGAGATTTTATTTTCAAAAGACTTAGTGTGTACAGTTTTTTATGTCTAAAACATAAAATAATCATATAAGTTTGTATTGTTGATATTTTATACATATTTTTTACATATACTGTATAAGTTTGATTTTATTAGGTAGAATACTGAATATATCAGATTCTAAATGGACGGCGAAATGGACATAATTTCGGCGCAATGGAAAATGAAGATTTGCATAACGGGTAGTTCTTATATTTGAACATAACTTAAGAATTTGAGAATAATAAGTAACAGTCTTTTAAAAATGATTTACTTTAATTATTTTTGAAAATGTTGAAAATAGGATATTGTAAAAGATATTTAAATTACGGCGAAATGGACACATTTCGACACAACGGGGATTATCATAACAGTTTTATCATACAATATTATTTTATTAATTTATTATCTTTCATTAATCATTGTGTACCTTTTCAATAATTGTTTGTTGCGTATAAATTGTATATTTCATCAAAAGCAATCCAAATATTTCATAATTGTGATATTGACACACGGTAATCAATTACGCGAGAATTGTAAGCAATTAGCAACGTATCGTGCACCAGTACTTGTAAAAGAAAACTTGACCGTTATCAGTGGCGGATTCAGGCTCCAAAATGTTTTATTACGTCTCACATTTCATATACACAATTTTTCTCATAGTTTGAGTGAAATATTGGCATAATAAGCTTCAAAAGCAATATTTTCGCCAATAATAAGTTAAAAAAAATTAATACCTTAAAGCACGGATAAATCCGTGCTTAAAGTCAATACATGTTCCTCTTAATCACATTATCTAAATGGTGTGAAAACGCTTGTCCAATAAACATCAACCACGTGTCATTGGTAATCTAATTATCGGTACTTAACACCCGTGATAAACATTCTGCCAATCACCAAATTGCTGTTGTTTCGCTAAATAAACAGTAGCTGCATTTGATTAACGGGGTTTTCTGATTGGGAAGGAATTGTTATAAGTAACGTTCAATTTAATTATTTTATGTTTTAAAATGGAAAGTCTAAGAAAGTTCTACATGCATGTCGTTTTACTATTTTAATAATTACACCAAACAATAAATATTTTGTATAGTTACTATTTTTGATTTAAAAAATGCATAAAATATTACAATCATTCGAATATCAGCCATGACGGAAATAATCGTATTTCTTTGTGCAGCAGTAAGTTAGAAAGTCAACAGTGTATGCTTTATGGACTTTTCGTATTCTTCAAGTAAAATTCTGAAAATTATGTATAGAAAAGCTATACTTTTCGTAAAAATAACGAATTGAACGGGAAAAAATGAAACAGATTGTAAAATCCATACGTCTTTCAGTGTCAGCCATAACGATAAACACGTATTTAATTCCATTTCTAAATTAATAAAACAGACATTTATTACACCACTTCAGTAATTCAGTTAATATCTTTAATGATTTACTTCTGCATATTACTACTTAATTCGGACAAACATTGATTCCGTTGAGCCCCCAAAAAAATCTCCGTTGTGCAGACAAAATGTCCATTTCGCCGGCACACAATCCTTTACATAATCAACATTGCAGCTCTTTGATTATTTGATATACAATTAAGGTTTTTAAATCTTTTTTTTTAAATTTATTTATTCAAATAACATTGGTGTTAATTAATTTCATATAATAGTACAATAGTACAAACGTTGTGCCGATTTTCCCAAATTATCTCCGTTGCGCCATGAAATTTCCATTTCGCCAGGCATATTATAATCCTTCAGTGTATACATATACAATTTATGAAACATTTGAAATCATACTTACTTTATAGTCCTAACAATCATTTTAGATGCTCAAATACAGCATATTGACTTAAAAAAAGGCGTTGTGTCGGTTTTTTTGAAAAAAATATCTCTGTTGCGCCATGAAATTTCCGTTTCGCAAAGCATATAACCCTTCAGTGCAATTAAACATATACAATTTATGAAATATTTTAAAACTTACTTACTAAATAGTTATAAACAATCATTCTAAATGCTTAAATATAGCACATTGACTTTAAAAAAAGGCGTTGTGCCGGTTTTTCTAAAAAATATATCTCCGTTGCGCCCGTTGCGTCCGTTGCGCCAAAAAATCTCCGTTGCGTATTTTAGTGGTACCGTTAATTAACTTGTTAAGTATAGGATAACTGATAAAATGTTACACCACATTACAGTACAGTAGTGTATTGACAAAATGTATTATCTTTTTTCTTGCTATTTTTTTATTAATATTTAAAAGACTTTTATACGCATCCTATAATTACATTCCAGTGTAGTCAATTCTAGAATTCACAAATCAAGCTGTTGTAAATATGGCATTGTATGTATATAATAATATAATTATTGTAATGTGTTGGCACTTTATCAGGCCTTGGAAGAAGTAAATACAACTATATTAAGAAGTAACCCTAAATATTTGCATTCTTATATCTTAAACAGATGAGAGAAAATCAAAAAAGTATAGATCTGAGGTTGATTTAGACAGCTATGATGTGGATGAAGACAGCCAAGATGTTGACAATACTACAGGTCAGTTTATATATAGTCACCATTGATGTATACCTACCCCACTGGAATACAAGCCATTTTGTACTTGAGAATAATAGTATAAGCACCGTTTGTGTGTGTTTTTTTTGTTTTGTTTTTTTTATGAACCCGTGCATGTAGTTATTGTTCCATATCATTATGTCCGTCCATCTGTCCATAAAATATTAAACTTAATTGGCAAGTTAAATAAATCTTAAGTTCTACCAGTACCAATGGCTTCATAATTACTCATTTACTTACATGTGCCAATACAAAGTCCATGATCTTGGCAAGCTGCAAGTTACACAACTTAAGCATCCGTTTTCCCCCCAGTTACTTCCCTTTTCAGCATTTTGAAAAGAAAAAGAATGGTTAAGCTTCACTGCACACACTTGATAACCAAGACATGTGAATGTCCCATGACATTAGCAAATGACATAACTGCAGTATTCATTTTACCCCTTTGAATATAGTTTTTGTTAACCTTTGGGGTGTTGGATAAACATATCAACAGCATAATACAGCCAGCGTCTTGACAAAACATGTAACTTTGGTACCCATTTCACCACCCCTTTAGAACCTGAAAAAAAATGAATGAGTAACCTATTCAGCATGTTTGATATACATGTATTTGAAGTTTTTTACTATAAATGCCGATCATATTTACTTTCCAATTAATTTGCATTGATCAACATCAAATGTTTAAAATAAAAAAGCTAAATACACAATGTATGCCTGAAAATTGGAAACCTTTTACATGGTAACCTTAAGAAAACGAGCAATATAACAAATTATGGAAATATTTACTTTTGATCAGATGCCCTGGTTTCATAATAAGAGCCGCGTCATGACAAAACCAACATGGTGCATTTGCCACCAGCATGAATCCAGACCAGCCTGCTCATCCATGCAAACCCTATAACTAGTAGAGAAACTGATAGTGAACAGCATGGATCCTGATCAGACTGCGCAGATGCGCAGGCTGGTCTGGATCCATGCAGGTCACAAAGGCATTATGTTGGTTTGTCATGGCATGGCTCATAAGATGATAATTTTCTGTATCAACCAGATATACCGGATGCTGCAACAATGCATGTATCAGAGTCTACAACTACTGAAGATGAATTTGGGGCCAAAGATTATCGTAAGATTCTAGACCTAAAACTTGACCATGCTTCCAGACCTATTTGGGTGGTAAGTAGTTAACAGTTAGCTTATTCTGTAGAAAACTTTATAAGAAAAAAATTAAATGATTCACTGGAAAAGGAGATAGCTAATAGCTGTGTTTAGATCATATTTTACCTCCAACCTTAGTGACAGAGAGTTATGGTAACTGTCCACCTCATATGTAAAGGTGACAGTCACAGTAAGGCAGTTTAAAATTATTTTTATTTTTGTTTATTTGATAATACCAATTTATTTATCTGGTAAATTTTATTGTGTAGCTTTGTCTTTGTTAGAATAAAGATTAATTGTGAAAGACTGAGAAGTAAATAATCTATTATCATGTTGAGATATTACCCTTTCAGGCACCAGATGGTCATATATTTTTAGAAGCGTTCTCACCTGTGTATAAGCATGCCCATGATTTCCTTATTGCCATATCCGAGGTAAGATAATAAACAAATTTATTCCTTGAAAGTTTGATTTTTTAAACAATAAATTTTATCAGATTTAAATTATATTGCTCACTGTATGCCACTTATTTTGCATTATTCTGCATTAATACATTGTCACATTGTATTATTAACTTTAGTGGATATTTTTTTTGAGGAAAAAAAAATGACCCAATTATTTATTTTGAGTATTAAAGAACTGAAACATAATGATAATAATTCAATTGCAAGTGTCATTAATAACAGACCCATGCCAGCCACCAATAAGAGCCAGGCCAACCTTCAAGTCTGTTAAGTTTGTTCAGACACTTTACTGATAGTTTCTCAATTTGAATATGTTGTTACGGAAATTCTTAACCCTTATCTTCCTTGACTGAGTCTGTGTCATCAGTATAGAAGCAGGCAAGGCAGGTCCTATACAGACTATACTGTTAGCTGACCAAATATCAAATATTCATCTTAAAATCCTAATTGTTGATAACGGACAGTATCAAAATTTAAGGTTCTAGTAACACTTGCAACACTTCATTCACAGTTAAATAGTTCCTTTAAATAAATTCAGCAGTTTAAGTGTAAACACTATTTTACATGATTTTAAATTTAGAGCAAGTCTGTACACTGTCAGCAATGTTTAGAGTAAATACAAATGAAGAGATATAATATATGTTTTCTCACTATGCTTTATTTTTCAGCCCGTGTGTAGACCTAGTCATATTCATGAGTACAAATTAACTGCATATTCATTATATGCAGCTGTGTCAGTTGGTCTAGAAACAAAGGATATCATAGAGTATCTGCGGAGATTGTGTAAAACAACATTACCCATAGGCATAGAGGAATTTATCAAGGTAGGTCTCACGTTTCTCTTCCTAGTCAGTTATAGTTTGACAGTGTTATTTTTTTTAAAGTACACACAACCTTTTCCAGCTATTTTGGTAAGTGGCCTTTAGTTTAAATGGCGAAAATTTTTAGGAAATTTTATTTATCTAACTAAGTTGAAAATCAACCTTACACATGAAGTTTTATTCATGTGTATGATTATATAACTTGTTACTTATTTTAAAAAATAGGTCAAAAACAGTTTTTTTCCACAGAAGTTCAAACAGTTTTTTTTGGCAGCTTAGAGAAACAGTTTTTCTTAATGAAATTTAGAGGGAAAAAATATAATATATTACTTTGGTTATAGGGAGAAAATAACCTATTTCAGCAGCAATATTTTCATTGAGGGCTTAACTAAATGTAATGAACATCTATATATATATAGTGACAGAGTAAAAGTCTGTAGATAATGGATTTGCAAGTTAATTTTGATTTGACAGGCACATGTTTTTCTATAATAGTAAGATAGAAGACAGTTTGCCATGTTTAAACAGCTACTGATTTCAGCAATCTAAGAAAAGAATGTTGGAAAAAAAGATGTTGATGTTTTAGAAATACTAAAGATATAATGAGAAAAGGTTAAATTCAATATTTAATGTAAACTTTTAAAATTCAGTTTATGTATTTACATGTATTATTATTTTTTGACACTTAAATTTGTATATGGAATGAAGACAAATTTTTATTCTAGGCCTGAAGTTTGTAAACATCTGCTTATATTTAATGTAAATGTTTATCTTGCTATCTTCCAGTTGTGTACATTGAGCTATGGGAAAGTGAAGTTGGTGCTTAAACATAATAAATATTACGTGGAAAGTCAGCATGCGGTAACAACCAATCAGATTCTTCTATATATGTTCATAATTAGTTTAGTGTTTTCCTAAAATATTACTATTGTTTGTGTTCAACTTTAAAATCTCAAGGTATTTTGCTTGAAACATTACACTTGTCATCTGGATCATACTTGCAGACCTGGGGTAATCATTAATTGTAATCATTGATTTTTTAATTGATTACATGATTACACTGTAATCATCATGTAATTGATTACCTTGCCCAAAATTGATTACATTAATTGTAATTAATCAATTACAGCTAAAATTTAGTCAGTAATTATGATTACAATTTGATTGACATTGATTACTATCAGATTTAACAGGAAACTATTTTGATTCAAGGGATGCCTTTATTTTACATGATACAGTTTATCTTTTGTATTACATTTTTTAAGTAAAAGCCCTTAATTAAGACCATCATCTGGGCTGGACCAAAGTGGTCTAAATTGTGGGTGGTCTTAATTGTGAATATTCTCATCATTGCTTACATACTTTATGACCATGAACTATTTTAGTCATTTAACAGCATGTATCTTAAGCTACGAATACAATATAAGACACTATAAAAGTATGCTTTGATATTTGATGAGAGGAAAGGATATTTCTGAAGAAATTTAACATACAATACTCTTTCGCTAGATTTCAATATCAATTATTATATGATGTACATAAGTCACCTATCAAATAAAACTTAAATCTTCACAAAATAATTTGCTGAAAGCAACATTAAACCACTCTAAAATTAACCTTGTCACCTTATTTCATAAAATGGCCCAATAATAACAGTTTTTCACACCTGAATTTAAGTGTCATGCATTTCAGCATTCAAGCAGATCATAACAACAAATTTAATATCTAGATAGGTGTTGACTTTGATATTAGTGGTCTCAATAGTTGGGTCAAATTAAGAATAAAGCAAAGAATTTGGACCAGGGCTTCCGTTAATGGGAGTTTGGGAGTCATTTACTCCTTGCTTTTGACTTTTGACTTCCAAAATTTAATGTTTTTCCTTCTTTACATATAAAGCGTTACTTTCAACAGTGGGTCCAGAGATTTTGCAGTCTCTGACTTCCAAATTTTTTTAAACTTAGTGGATGCCCTGTTGGACTGAATCAGGTGGTCTTAAAAGTGGATAAGCAGTTGTTCTTAATTCTGTATCATGTAACCATTGTCATAAAGAACAAGTTGTAAAAATAGTCTTATTAACGGGGTGGTCTTAATTCAGGGGTGGTCTTAAGTAGGGATTCTACTTGTAATCAATTATCAATCAATTACTCTCTTAAAATAATTGTAATTTAATTGATTACAGAGGCAAGTGTGAGTAATCAATCTTAATCAATTACAATAAAATCTGAAAGTAATTGTAATTAAATCAATTACTGATCATTGTAATCATCCCCAGGTCTGCATACTTGCATCTTATTATTTAAGATTAATAACTCTTGCATGGATTTTTATTGGAAAAAAACAATTATTTCACTTTGACAACTTTGAATCATAAAATATGTAGAGGTTGAAACAAGTTATTGTTGAATAAAAATACACAAAAGAAAAATGATTTCAGGAAGGCTTAACATCTTAATGATCTTGATGTCTTTATGGTCATAATTGTTGTCATAAACACAGTAACTCTAGATTGAAATGTTACAGAATTATTCCCGTTTGTGAACTTCATGACTTGTTTTTCTATCAAGCATTGAGAATTGTTGAGGACACTGTCTGTCTGATTTGTTTTTATCTCAACTAAAACCTTGACACAAATTTGAATATACTTTACAGATTTATAAAACTCATTGTTCAAAGTAGTATAACTTTTATACATGAAACAAGGAACTGCACCCATTTTGTAGCTATACTTTTATATGAAGATATTTATCATCATTGTACTTTTTCTCACCCAGGAGGTTGTACAGAAGTTGTTGAAGGATCCGGTTATACAGGAGTGTAGGTACCGCCCAGAGGTAGAGGAGGGGGAGAATGTAGAGGTGATACAAGAGAGTGTGACTAAACCTACAACAATACAGGTAACACAAACTTTATTTATTGTTGGTTATTGTTAACAGTACGAAACATAAGCTTTAAGCTCGTATCCGACATGAACAAAAGATAAAAATAATAACAAACATAAATAGAAAAACAACTGTTTAGATAATACATAAAATTAATTCATGTTGTCATTGTTGTCATTGTTATGAAAATCAGAGCATTTAAAATGAAAATACTGTCCTGTCCAATGAGGGTTTGCCTAAAATACGAGAGTGACCCTTTCAAAAAAAGTGAGCGAAAGTGACCTTAGAAATATGAATTATAGAGTTTTGACAGAATTTTAAAATTACAGCAGTATATATAGTAAACATATCTCAACTGTGGATGCTACTAGTAAACATTTACAAGAATTGTTATAGTTTAAACATATTTATTTCCCAAATATTGACATATAAACATTATATTTCAAGTCTAATCATATACAGTGTAACTTCCGAATTCCGGAACTTCTGAAATCCGGAAACTTCTAAAAACCGAACAATTTTTTCGGTCCCGATTTTTTTCCTTCTATTTTCTATTAATATAATACTTCTGAATTCCGGAACTTCTAAATTCTGAATTCCGGACGATATTTTCGTAAAATTAGAGTCAAATCAATGCAATTTTACCTCCAAAATCTGGAAATATCCAAAGGTGTGAAATACATTGTAAATCGAGAATGTTTACCCTGCAGGAAGATTAAATCTCCCTATCCATTGTTTACTAATTAGCGGTGATCGTGTAATTTGACACGCGTTAAAATCACAAACTGTGAAATGGTATGTTTGAAGTGATGCGGTTAATTAAAGTAATTTACGGCGGTCAGTTAAATTGAAGTGTTTACTAGCGGATTAAATGACAATTAATTGGGACAATGTATGCATCAAACGTCTTTAGGGATTTTATTGCATTTGATTGATTTTTATATAAGTATCATTATTATAAAGTATTAAAACAAGTGTTAAATATTTTCTTTTCCTTCACATCTTTATCTTGATTAAAAGACTATTATATATGATATTACAGTAATGGCCACATTTTCCTTGACATTTAGTGGCTTAGTCTTGTCCACATTTTCATAAACCTCTGAATTCCGGAACCTCTGAAATCCGAACTTTTTGACAAGTTCGGTTTTCAGAAGTTACACTGTATTCAAAGGAAAGGATTAGAAATTATGTAGTATTATAAAAAAATTTCTCCTTTAAGTATAAATAGAAGACTTACAGCAGAACAAATATGTAACAAGTAATTTTTTTGTCAATTTGAGTACTAATATCTGGCACTGAGAAATTGATTAGTGATGGAACAAATATTTCTTTATGAAAAGATGCCAAAATATTTTGCATATTAAAGACATGAAATGTTTTTAAGAAGTTTGCTTTCAGATTACATTAACAATAATCTGCTGAATTTCTGTAATGTTTTTGCATAGTTTTTTGGCATAAGTTGTAGCAGGGATCTCGGTATAGAAATAAATGAAATCAGACTGAATGGGCAACAATAGTGAGTGTGGTCACGCTGTCCTGACTTGCCTAACTATACTGGTTGTATAGGTCTGATATTATCTTCACCACCAATAGAATAATTCACTTTTATTGCCATTTATATACATGTACGTGTATTGTAAATTGTACAAAATACATTTGTATAAAATGTATAGTTAATTTATTGATGAAAAGGAAGCAGATGCTTATTTATCTCTAAAATAAGGCACAGCAAGCACCTGAACAGTTGATATTCTCTACCCAGAATAATTATACAGAATATTTATAGTGATACATTGTATTAATTTGTTTTAGTTTTTTGTTGTAAGAAGTTTTGATTTTTAAACAGTTTAACAAACCAGTCACAAATGGTGCTGCCCCTGGCATGAGTACAAGCAACAATGCCGCTGCAGGACCATCGGGTGATGATGGTGCCAAAACGTCTACGGAGGAGGCAGTCCCGTCAGATATATTTGATTATTATGACAAGATGGATAATGAGGAGGAAGATGGGGAAGATCTAAGAACTGTCTCGTTTGAGGTGAAACAAGATAGAATAGAAGATATACAGAAAAGGTATGCTTTATAAGTAATTCAGTTTACTTAATAAAACAATACTGATGCCATAGAAACGTTTTAATTTACATTAACTGGAGATCCTTCGGTCATATATAGGAAGAGCTTATTTTCACCAACTTAAATATCCCATGCCCGGCTTTCACTAACATTCTCAAAACCAAAATCTCAGCTGAAATCCAAGATTTTTTCTCAACTCAGAAACATAGTTTGAGATTTTTTCTCAGTTTGACTTGTACTAAAATTCTATGAGAAGTAGATATATAACTTTGGTTGAGTAAAACATTGCTGGTTTTCAAAAGAATATTTGTTTTAGTGGATTGCTTACTGTTTTTAAACAATCAAATTTATTTGCTTAGCTTGCTCTCCAAATTTATATTGTAAATGTTAACAGTTAGGATGGTTATACAGATATGATCTATCATATATTTGTAGATGTATAGAGTTAGAGTACCCTCTGCTGGCAGAGTATGACTTTAGAAATGACACTCATAATCCAGATATCAAGTAAGTGTTAGTTCTTACATAGATATAAGCTAGTAGGTTTTTCTTCTTTTTAAAAGTTACAGTATCAACATATTTCTGGTAACAAAATGTTTATCAATATCAAAGGCACTATTTTATCAAAATTTTAACTCTTACTTTGCTGTTCCAAAAAGTGACATACCGTTGCCAGTCCTTAGTATCGAGTCAGACTGGCCTCCTGACAGTCTGCCCAGTCTCTATGCTGTTGGTAGAACAACTTCAAGTTTTCATCTTGATATACCATAACATTCATAATGTACAGTTCCAAACATAGAAGCTGAACAAGACTATTTCATAACTTCAGCTTGTAGAGGGTTCATGCCTGCTTGATATTGCATATCAGGAAAATAATTATATTCAGTTAAATATTTGACTGATGTATGCGAAACATTGATATGTATTTAAACAGATTTATAGTTTTGATGTGATTTTTTCTTATACATGTATTAGTTTCTTTATCTATTAACCATCATTTTAGATATTTGGTTGAAGTCTACCCTTCATTTTGGGTAATATGTGGATAGGATCAAGGCTGTTGTGGCTGAAATTATATTTTTCACCTTTGACCAAAAACTACAGAAGGAATGGGTTGAAACTTCACATGCTTTTTAAGAGCATAATAGAATGTCACTGTCCAAGGGCCATAACTCTAAACTTGGATTTTGACAGAATTTTGCCCTTTTTGAACTTAGATAATTTTACATTATCCAGACTTTTGCTTTAAGCATTGTGATTATTTGAATATGAGTTGAGCTGACAGCTCTTGTTAGTCCATTCAAAGCTACATCATAGAGTATTGCAGACTTTTTAGCTCGACTATACGAAGTATATGGAGAGGTGTCCTACTCGCCCCGGCGTCGGCGTCCGCGTCCAGATTTTAGATTAAAGTTTTGGTGCAGTAAAATATTTTTCATTATAACTTTGTCATTTCTTAAGGTATCAACTTCAAACTTCAAATATATGTTCCTTATCATCAACCACATCTTATGTGACAAGGTTCATAACTCTAGCACCAATGTTTTCAGATTTATCTCCCCTTGAACTTAGAATTTTCCTTAAAAAATACTATTTTTTACTGTTACTTCTTTATTTCTTAAGGGATCAACCTCATACTTCAAATATATGTACCTTATCATCATCCCATCTTATGTGTTAAGGTTCATAACTCTAGCACCAATATTTTTTCAGATTTATCTCCCCTTGAACTTAGAATTTTCCTCAAAAAGTACTATTTCTTTACCGTTTCTTCTTATTTTTTAGGGATCAACCTCATACTTAAAATATATTTACTTTATCATCATCCCCATCTTATGTTGACAAGGTTCATAACTCTAGCACCAATATTTCAGATTTATCTCCCTTTGAACTTAGAATTTTCCATAAAAAATATATTTTTTACTGTTACTTAATTTTATTTCTAAAGGGATCAACTTCATACTTCAAATATATTTACGTTATCATCATCCACATCTTGTGTGACAAGGTTTCATAACTCTAGCACCAATATTGCAAGAATTATCTCCCCATAACTTAGATTTTTTTACTAGAAAAATGTTATTTTTTATTATAACTTTTTTATTTTTAAAGGTATCTACCTCAAACTTCAAATACTTATTCCTTATCATCAATTACATTTTATGTGACAATGTTCATAACTCTTGAAGCAATATTTACAGATTTATCTCTCCTTGAACTTAGGATTTTCTTTAAGAAATATATTAACTTCTTTATTTTTTAAGGTATCTACTTCAAACTTCAAATATATATTTCTTATCATTACACAAATGTTGTGTGACAAGGTCCATAACTCTAGCATGACTATTTCTAGAATTATTCCCCTTGATCTTGGAATTTATGTTAACAAATATTACTTTTTAATATAACTTAATACATAATTATACATAATTGATTTTTCTTTCATAGTTTTGTCCTCCTTACTGCGTCCAGTATTTTATTAGTCGAGCTTCGCTGTCTCCTGTGACAGCTCTTGTTATTTCTTTGCCTTTATTAGCTCACCTGTCACAAAGTGACAGGGTGAGCTTTTGTGATTGCTTTTCGTCCGTCGTCCGTCCGTCATCCGTCTGTCCGTCGTCCGTCCGTAAACTTTTACTTTAAATGACATCTCCTCATAAACCACTAAGCCAATTTCACCCAAACTTCACAGGAATGTTCCTTTGGTGGTCACCTTTAAAAATTGTTCAAAGAATTTAATTCCATGCAGAACTCTGGTTGCCATGGCAACCGAAAGAAAAAACTTTAAATATCTTCTTGTACAAAACCATAAGAGCTAGAGCTTAGATATTTAGCATGAAACATGTTCTAATAGGTGTCTACCAAGTTTGTTCAAATAAAAGCCCTGGGGTCAAAATTGGCCCCGCCCCGGGGGGTCATTGATTTTCCCTATATGCATATAGTAAAAACTTAAAAAATCTTCCTTTAAAGAACTCAAAGAGCAATGGCTAAGATATTGAGAATGAAACATCTTCTAATAGGTGTCTACCAAGTTTGTTCAAATAAAAGCCCTGGGGTCAAAATTGGCCCCGCCCCAGGGGGTCATTGATTTATTCCCTATATGCATATAGTATAAAAACTTAAAAAATCTTCTTTTAAAGAACTCAAAAGAGTTAGAGCTAAGATATTTAGCATGAAACATGTTCTAATAAGTGTCTACCAAGTTTGTTCAAGTACAAGCCCTAGGGTCAAAATTTGCCCCGCCCCGGGGGGTCATTGATTTTCCCTATATGCATATAGTAAAAACTTACAAAATCTTTTTTTAAAGAACTCAAAGAGCTATGGCTAAGATATATAGCATCAAACATGTTCTAATAGGTGTCTACCAAGTTTGTTCAAATAAAAGCCCTGGGTCAAAATTAGCACCGCCCGGGTCATTGATTTTCTTTATATGTGTATAGCAAAAATTAAAATCTTCTTTGAAAAAACCAAATAGCTAGAGTTTAGATATTAAGCATGAAACATCTTCTAGTAAGTGTCTACAAAGTTTGTTCAATAAAAGCCCTGGGTCAAAACTTGCCTGGCCCCAGGGGTGTCATTGTTTTTAACTATATGTGTATAGTAAAAACTTTAAAAAAAATCTTTCTTTTTAAAAAGCCATATGAGCTAGAGCTTAGATGTTTAGCATGAAACATCTTCTTATGGTGTCTACCAAGTTTGTGCAAATAAAAGCCCTTGGGTTAAATTGGCCCTGCAACGTTGGGGGGGGGGGGGGTTGGGGGGCCTATATACAGGTGAGCGACCTCAGGGCCATCATGGCCCTCTTGTTGAAAGTAAGATATTAGATAATACACTACATACTACAGTGCTTTTCAAATACATAAAAGTCAGTGTACAAATGATGTAAGGATATTTGTCAGGTTGGAAACTCATATCAGTTGTTATATTTCAGCATAGATTTAAAACCTTCAACAGTTCTTAGACCGTATCAGGAGAAGAGTTTACGTAAGATGTTTGGTAATGGGCGTGCTAGGTCAGGTGTTATAGTGTTACCTTGTGGTGCGGGGAAGACTTTAGTCGGTGTGACAGCAGCGTGTACTGTCAGGAAAAGGTGTTTATGTCTTGCTACATCAGGTGTGGCAGTTGAACAATGGAGATCTCAGGTTTGCTTGATATTAATTTGATTTTATTTTTAATACTTTTTATTCTAACCTTCATAAATTGTGATATAAAACCTATATGTAAATAAATGAATATTCTTGATCATATTTCATTAAATGTATTTTGTAATCATCCTAACAGTGTCCAGTAATCTGCTAGATCCCTGGTCCAGTATGCTTATTATGTACAGTTTAAGGTGTGTTTTTTGATTCTCAAGAGAAGCAAATTTTTATACATGACATATTGTCCTAACACAGTTTGTCCAATGTTATTCATGCTTTAGTACTAACTTCTGTAACTGGATATGGATAAGTTAGCATTTATTTTAGGTAAAAAAGGTAAATTCTAGTGTTGAACTAACTATAGAAGCCATAGAGCGACATTTATTTTTGAAAAAGTAATAAATAATTAGTTAGAAGTTATAAATGATAAATTTCCTTACATGACTTCTGTAACAAACTGATTGTTTCATATCGATTTATTCAGGGAATATACATAAACATGTACAATATTTTCACATATATCAACATGCATATAATAAAACACGCAAGAAAAATGCAACAAAACAAAATAATTATAAGATTAATTAGTATGTTTTATGTTACCCTAGGATTGCCCTTTAAGTAAAACCAAAATAAACTGATATCTCTAGATTTGACATGCAGAAATTATGCAAATTTGTGATTTATGTTTTATATCAAAGTTTAAAATGTGGTGTACAGCAGACGACAGTATGATCTGCAGATTTACATCTGATGCTAAAGATAAACCTATTGGTAAGTTCATTTATTTTAACAGCTTATTATTAAATGTGGATATTGTAAGGTAGATTTTTGGCTATTTATAATTGTTGTTAATATCTGTTATAACAAACAAATGACTGAAAAGGTGTATTAATAAACTGATTCAAGCTAGACAGAAATATGAATTACATGTTTAGGGATATGTATGCCTGACTATATTTTAATTATAGAAATAAGTCATTGTTCTTATTATATAAAATAAATATAAAATATGTAAATAAGTTATTTTGTGTTTTCTTTGTGATTAATATATAAATTTTAAAAAGCAACATTTCATGATAATACAATTCTTAAAAGATTGTACAAACGTCGGTTAGCATCATTAAATAAACTTTAAAACTTATCCTGTGTTGATTGTTTGTTCCACTTTTTAGCTCACCTGTCACAAAGTGACAGGGTGAGCTTTTGTGATCGCTTTTCGTCCGGCGTCCGTCCGTCCGTCCGTCGTCCGTCCGTAAACTTTTGCTTTAAATGACATCTCCTCATAAACCACTGAGCCAATTTCATCCAAACTTCACAGGAATGTTCCTTTGGTGGTCACCTTTAAAAATTGTTCAAAGAATTTAATTCCATGCAGAACTCTGGTTGCCATGGCAACCGAAAGAAAAATCTTTAAATATCTTCTTTTAAACAACCCTAAGAGCTAGAGCTTAGATATTTGGCATGAAACATCTTCTAATGAGTGTCTTACCAAGTTTGTTCAAATAAAAGCCCTGGGTCAAAATTGGCCCCGCCCCCGGGGGGTCATTGATTTTCCCTATATGCATATAGTAAAAACTTAAAAGATCTTCTTTTAAAGAACTGTAAGAGCTAGAGCTAAGATTTTTGGCATGGAACATCTTCTAGTGAGTGTCTACCAAGTTTGTTCAAATAAAAGCTCTGGGGTCAAAATTGGCCCCGCCCCGGGGGGTCATTGATTTTCCCTATATGCATATAGTAAACACTTAAAAAATCTTCCTTTAAAGAACTGTAAGAGCTAGAGCTTAGATATTTGGCATGAAACATCTTCTAGTGAATGTCTACCAAGTTTGTTCAAATAAAAGCCCTGGGTCAAAATTGGCCCCGCCCCAGGGGGTCATTGATTTTCCCTATATGCATAAAGTAAAAACTTAAAAAATCTTCTTTTAAAGAACCCAAAGAGCTAGAGCTTAGATATTTGGCATGAAACATCTTCTAGTGAATGTCTACCAAGTTTGTTCAAATAAAGCCCTGGGTCAAAATTGGCCCCGCCCTGGGGGGTAATTGATTTTTCCCTATATGCATATAGTTTAAACTTAAAAAATCTTCTTTTAAAGAACCGTAAGAGCTAGAGCTTAGATATTTGGCATAAAACATCTTCTAGTAAATGTCTACCAAGTTTGTTCAAATAAAAAGCCCTGGGGTCAAAATTGGCCCCGCCCCAGGGGGTCATTGATTTTCCCTATATGCATATAGTAAAAACTTAAAAAATCTTCTTTTAAAGAACTGTAAGAGCTAAAGCTTATATATTTGGCATGAAACATCTTCTAGTGAATGTCTACCAAGTTTGTTCAAATAAAACCCCTGGGGTCCAAATTGGCCCCTCCCCAGGGGTCATTGATTTTCCTTATATGCATATAGTAAAAACTTATAAAATCTTCTTTTAAAGAACCCAAAGAGCTAGAGCTAAGATATTTAGCATGAGACATGTTCTAATGGGTGTCTACCAAGTATGTTCAAATAAAAGCCCTGGGGTCAAAACTGGCCCCGCCCGGGGGTCATTGATTTTCCTTATATACATAGCAAAAACTTAAAAATCTTCTTTGAAAAAAACCCAAATAACTAGAGTTTAGATATTAAGCATGCAACATCTTTAAGTAAATATCTACAAAGTTTGTTCAAATAAAAGCCCAGGGGTCAAAACTGGCCCTGCCCGAGGGGTGTCATTGTTTTTTACTCTATGTGTATAGTAAAAACTTAAAAAAATCTTCTTTTAAAAAAACCCAATGAGCTAGAACTTAGATGTTTTGCATGAAACATCTTCTTATTGGTGTCTACCAAGTCTGTTCAAATAAACAAATAAAAGCCCTTGGGTAAAAATTGGGCCGGGGGGGGGGGGGGGGGGGGCTATATACAGGTGAGCGACCTCAGGCCATCATGGCCCTCTTGTATTGTTTTATTGTAAGATTGTACAAAGGTTAATTAGTTTATAATTGAATTGATTACTCATGCATTAATTAGACAATGAAATTCTTTATTTGTATCATTTATTTAAAAAAAGTTATATCCTGTGGTAATTGCTGATTTTCAAAAAAAATTGAATGTATATTTAAGTGAATGAACCATTACAGGTTGCTCTATATGTATCAGCACATACTCTATGTTAGCACATACGATGAAGAGATCATGGGAGGCAGAAAAAGTCATGGAATGGATGCAAAGTCAGGAATGGGGACTGATGGTACTTGATGGTAAAATATTTCTCTTGTTCTAATGTTGTGTATCTCACCATTGTAGATTTAAATCTTTACAGTGACGTCTTGTTAATTGACGTGAGAAGGCTAACCAGGTGTTCAAACATGCCTGAAATAATATATATTATAGAAGGGCATGTTTATTATAGAAGGACATGTTGATGTTTACCTCCTCCATGAAAAAAGAAGATAGTAACTTAACATCTTACCCTATTTAAACAGAATAAGTATGGAACCATAGTTTTTGATTTATTATGCCCCCTTTTGAAAAAAAGGGGGTATATTGCTTTGCACTTGTCGGTCCGTCGGTCCGTCGGTCCGTCGGTCCGTCGGTCCGTAGACCAAATGGTTTCCGAGTGATAACTAAAGAACCCTTAGGCCTAGGAACTTCAAACTTGGTATGGTGATTGGTCATGACAAGTAGATGACCCCTATTGATTTGGGGTCAAGGGTCAAAGGTCAAGGTCACATTGACCTTGTAAGCAAAAACGGTTTCCGATCAATAACTAAAGAACCTTAAGGCCTAGGAACTTCAAACTTGGTATGGTGATTTGTCATGATCAGTAGATGACCCTATTGATTTTGGGGTCAAGGGTCAAAGGTCAAGGTCACATTGACCTTGTAAGCAAAAAACGGTTTCCGATCAATAAGTAAAGAACCCTTAGGCCTAGGAACTTCAAACTTGGTATGGTGATTGGTCATGATCAGTAGATGACCCCTAACGATTTTGGGGTCAAGGGGTCAAAGGTCAAGGTCACATTGACCATTTGGGTAAAAACGGTTTCCGATCAATAACAAAAGAACCCTTAGGCCTAGGAACTTCAAACTTGGTATGGTGATTGGTTATGACCAACAGATGACCCCTATTGATTTTGGGGTTAAGTGGTCAAAGGTCAAGGTCACATTGACCTTGTAGGTAAAAATGGTTCCCGATCAATAACGAAAGAACCCTTAGGCCTAGGGACTTCAAACTTGATATGGTGATTGGTCATGATCAGTAGATGACCCCTATTGAGTTTTGGGTCAAGGGGTCAAAGGTCAAGGTCATGACCAGTAGATACTTGATAACCCTTATTAATTGTTTGATCACTGGGTCAGAAGTCATGCATAATTACCTTATCACATGAATAATTGGCTGCTGATAGGGGGCATACATGTTTTACAAACATATCTTGTTTACTTAAAAGTTGAATCTCTTGTTGAAATTACAGCTACTTAATAAAGTGTACTTTTTTTATGCCCCCACAATGTGGGAGCATATAGCGTTGCACTTGTCCGTCTGTCCGTCTATCCGTCAGTCAGTCCGTATGTCCCGAAATCTTGTGAACGCAACTCCTCTTAAACCAGATGGCAGATTTTGCTTAAACTTACAGGGATGAACAACCTTAATGTGTAGATGGCAGTAAAGGAAGGAATTTTCGCTGCGACCAAATTTAACAGAATTATGGCCCTTTGTTGATTTTTTCACTAGATACTATGTAGAAATTTTGTGAACGCAACTCCTCTTAAACCGGATGGCAGATTTTGCTTAAACTTACAGGGATGAACAACCTTAATGTGTAGATGGAAGTATAGGAAGGAATTTTTGCTGCGACCAAATTTAACAGAATTATGGCCCTTTGTTGATTTTTTCACTATATACTATGTAGAAATTTTGTGAACGCAACTCCTCTTAAACCGGATGGCAGATTTTGCTTAAACTTACAGGGATGAACAACCTTAAGGTGTAGATGGTAGTAAAGGAAGGAATTTTTGCTGCAACCAAATTTTACAGAATTATGGCCCTTTGTTGATTTTTTCATTATATACTATGTAGAAATTTTGTGAATGCAACTCCTCTTAAACCAGATGGCAGATTTTGCTTAAACTTCCAGGGATTAACAACCTTAATGTGTAGATGGTAGTAAAGGAAGGAATTTTTGCTGCGACCAAATTTAACAGAATTATGGCCCTTTGTTGATTTTTAGTTTTCAACTTGTGGCACATGTAGTCCAAAAAATATTTGACCTAGAGTCATAAGATTGACAGAACAGTGGCGTGTGGGGGCATCAGTGTCCTATGGACACATTTCTAGTTTATTTCAATTACAAAAAAACGAAAGCAACTGTTATTTGGGTGTCAAATGTAATGAAAAGCTTTTCTGTTATTGAATACTATACATGTATATCATATGATTATAACAGAAGTACAGACAATACCTGCAAAGATGTTCAGACGAGTGTTGACAATCGTGAATGCCCACTGTAAACTTGGTCTCACTGCCACTCTGGTACGCGAGGATGATAAAATTGCTGATCTCAACTTTCTGATTGGTCCAAAACTTTACGAAGCAAACTGGATGGAACTACAAAATCTTGGTTTTATAGCTAGAGTGCAATGTGCTGAGGTAATCTTACTTTTGTAGTTAATTGTAGTTAATTGGTTGGGGTCAAAGTCATTCAGACTAAAAATACATGTTCCACCTCTACCACATACAAATGCCATGTTTTTGCTTTGCCCAAACAGCATCAGTGTGATCAGGCTTTATACTTTTGACATTTATTTCTTTGATAATGGAAACCATGGGACTCACAAACATATTTTATGGTTATAACAATAAGTAAGATAAGACCATTTCAAGATGAAGCTTGCTTGTATTCTAAATAATGAGCTACATTTGTATCATACACAAGTATAGCTAGAAAATCATCATAGTACTACCTTATTGTTTAATCTTTAACATACTTGCTAAAAAGGAATAAGCCTTTGTCATCAGTTAAGAGTCAGACCAATCGTGTAGACTATACTGTGGGTAGATCACTTTTAGCATTGAGATGTTAAAATATTTTAGATTTTAACAGACTGCTTGAATTTTAAAACAGGTCAATCCATCACATAAATACTGCTAGTTTAGTGTAAAGTTTTACTTTTTACTCAGTGATATAATATGAAATATTGTAATATTTAATGATTTGTCAATGAATTAAAGCATTATATGAAGTTTGCAATAATCAAGCAAAAGGTATTTTTTGTTTCAGGTATGGTGTCCGATGACACCAGAGTTTTATAGAGAGTATCTCACAACAAAACAACAAAGGAAATTGGTAAGTAGCAGTAGTTTTACATTTACTTTTAAAAGATCACAGGTTTCAACCTTGTTTTTCTTTTTTTATACAAATATTCATTATCTCAAAGAAAAACCAATATAATGCACAAGTTAATTTGATAATAACCAAAAGGGAAGCCCGGAAGGGAAAATGGTAAAATGGATGAGGAATTGAATATAGAATTTCAGTTTACAGTTTTATTGTTATGTGATTGAGCTTTTTAAAAAAAAGAAATGGTGGATTTCCCAGGTAAATGAATTGGAATGTTATAAATCTCTTATAAAAATTGTTAGGGTTCATGTAAAATTTGTTTTTTATGTGATTATTTTGTATATGTGTACAGAAAATGAATTTCTGTGAATTTGTTTTTACACTGAAAATAGATGAGCACACCAGCTGTTGTTTTGTAATTGTTATGTCACATTAGCAGTCGAATTTTTATTCTATTGCTTTTAATATCAGAGATTAAAACAAGTCAACCTTTGTGACAAGAACATGTGTTGTTTTAGCATTGTTATGTTTTATGAACAGAAGGAGAATTTCTATACTGTTTGTTTTACCATGAAAGATATAGGAAAGTCAACCTCCATGTCCTGTGACAGCAGGTGTTGTTTTGGCATTATTGTGTTATATAAACAGGTAAATTTCTGTTGTTTCAGTTGCTGTATGCGATGAACCCAAACAAATTCCAAGCCTGTCAGTATTTGATACGTTACCATGAGCGACGAAATGATAAAATCATTGTATTCTCCGATAATGTATTTGCTCTGAAAAACTATGCCATCAAACTAAACAAGTATGTATAATTTAAATTACTAATTTTGTAGTTTGAATATTGTAGTTTTATCCATTTAGCAATTAATTTCATGCATATTTGGTCTGAAAAACTACGCCATCAAACTAAACAAGTATGTATTGTTTTGTAGTTTTAATAATGTAGTTTTAACCATTAAGCAATGATTTTCATGCATGTGCCATTCAGGAAATATGCTTGCATATTTTTTTTCACACAGGCATTTTGGAAGTATTCTTTTTCAAAATTGACAACAAATAATTTTTTGCAGCAGACATATTACATTGTATAATATATAGCTTTAAAAAATAGCTTATATATTTTCATTGACATTATTTGCGATATCATAAAGTAATAAATGATTGTATAATTTCAGACCTTATTTATATGGACCAACATCACAAGGGGAGAGATTACAAATTCTACAAAACTTCCAACATAATCCTAAAGTCAACACTATTTTTGTCTCAAAGGTTAGAATGCCTTTTATTTTTTAAATAATATGTACATGTATTAAACAGCCAATTAGAAATCAAAAATTCCTCTTGTCCGCTCATAATTACAAGTAGAATTTAAGAGAATTCAATGCAGGATGAGTAGAAAAATGTTGCCTGCTCATCGGATTTAGTAGCTACTTGTCGTGCAGGACAAGTGACTCTGAAAATTATTTTTGATGCCTGCCAATTATATGCAGTAAGAATTTAATATCATACTAAGAAGTGACATGTTTTGCAAATTTTTAAGCATGAATATTGACTGGTATACATTTTCTTATATTCAATATTTCATCTGCCTAATTAAATCAATTACATTGTGACCCCTTGCTCACCTGAACTTAATGAGGTAACAGGTTCTACTTACTGCAAAATGGAAAATATCTGTTTAAAAAAAGTGTATGTGCTGCAGGGAGGGATGGGGGTACAAGGGGAATAGGGGTGCAGGAATGGATGGGGGTGCAGGAATGGATGGGGGTGCAGGGAGGGATGGGGGTGCAGGGATGGAGAGGGTACAAGGGGGTGGGGTGCAGGGAGGGATGGGGGTGCAAGGGAGATGGGGGGGGGCAGCACAAAGATGAAGCTACATATTGTATTTGAAGATGGTGAAATTAACTCAGCCATATAACATTGCTTTACTATTTGTTCATGTTTTGTTATCTTAAAGGTGGCTGACACATCATTTGACCTACCAGAAGCTAATGTACTCATACAGATATCAGCTCATGGTGGCTCTCGTAGACAAGAAGCTCAGAGATTAGGAAGAATTCTAAGAGCAAAGAAAGGTATATCAAACTCTATTATGTCTTTTACTTTCAATTAAAAACTAGAAAGTCATATCTCCATTTAAAATTTATAATTTAAGATATTTAAAGTTTTGATTCTTTTCAGACTTTAATTAATTTCAGTATAACTGTTGTTGTAATATTGTACATGTATTTTACAGGTGCTGTAGCTGAGGAGTATAATGCATTTTTCTATTCTCTTGTGTCACAAGATACAATGGAGATGCAATATTCACTGAAGAGACAGAGATTTCTCATTAACCAGGGTTACAGTTATAAGGTCATCACAAAACTAGCTGGCATGGAGGAGGTAAACTAATTGTTGTTAGCAGTTATAGTAGGAATCTCAGTTTCACTAAAATAGTTAGGAGAACCTAAATTTTATTTTTGGGTCCCTGGCTGAGTGGTTCTGGTCATTGACTTAAAACCACTTGCTCCTCACAGCTCTAGGTTTGAATCCCGCCAGGAAACTTTGATTTTTTTATGTAAGGAAGCTAACCAGCTGCCTTGCATAATGTTCGTGGTTCTAATCTGTGTCTGAAATAATGCACAGTGGGGCACATGTAAAGCTAAAAGTCACCATATTATCTCTACTTCCTTGGTGTGAAGTTAAAACCAACAAATAAAATTGAGTTTCATTCAATGTATTTCTTGATGAGCTGATCACACTTTTTTTGTCATGATTAAATAAGAAATGATGTTCATGTTCCTTGTAGAGCTTGAACCCATAATTCTTATGTGATAAGGCTAGCACCTATCCCCATAATGCCTCTGTTCCCATCAGTTTTATTATGCTTGAGAGATATTAAAGAGTCAATTAGAATAATACCCGGTATTTCAAAAACTTCACACAAAAGGGATCAAAATTAGCAATTAATAAGTTGTTACATTAGCATAGTTACATGTTATGAAAATGCTTTAAGATGTATAGAAATTAAATCATCAACTGATCTTTTAATGAACTAGGAACATATTTGTATATTAAGGATTTAAATATGCAAACAACTTATCTTGTATCTTTAATTGGCACATGTTATGAAAAGTATTCACTTTATAATACTGGCTGTTAATACGTCATGTATAAGTTTCTATATGTGACTGGTTGTAACTTCTAGGAGGAACTGGCATTTACTACAAAGGAAGAACAAGCACAGTTGTTACAGAAAGTGATTGCAGCTTCTGATCAGGATGCTGAAGAAGAAAGAATTATAGGAGAAAGTATTGGTGGGAAGTCTATCGTAAGTTGTCATCTGCATATTCAAATAGCCAATTGTTAAAACTAGTCACATTACAGGGATAAAGTTATAACCAACATTTGATATATTATTAAACTTTCAATAACTGTAAAATCATGTTTTGTTTTTAGCTCACCAGAGCCATCATGTTTTGTTTTTAGCTCACCAGAGCCAAAGGCTGAGGGCGAGCTATTAGTATCAAAGGGGGATGCTCCGGTGTCTGTCCTCCATCGTCATGCGTCAACAATCGTCTTCTTCTCTGAAACTACAAAACAGATTTACTTCAAATTTGGTCTGTAGCATCCTTGTGACAGTCACAGTGGAATTTGCTCATGTCATTCCAATTGGTCCCTTTTAGGGGTCAGCAGAGCTAAAAATAGAAAAACCTTTAAACGTCTATTTCTAGAGAACTAATTGACCAAACTTTGTCTGTAGCATTCTTAGATAGTCTTTAATCAAGTTTGCTAATATTATTTTGATTGGCCCCTTTTAGGGGTCTCTAGGGCTAAAAATAGAAAAACCTTTAATCATATTCTCCAAGAGAACTAATTGATGGATCATCACCAAACTTTATCTGTAGCATTCTTGGGTAGTGTTTTATCAAGTTTGCTCATATTAATTTGATTGGCCCCTTTTAGGGGCCGCTAAAGCTAAAAATAGAAATACCGTTTAATGTCAGTATTTCTAGAGAACTTATTGATGGATGATCACCAAACTTTGTCTGTAGCATTCTTGGGTAGTGTCTTATCAAGTTTGCTCATATTAATTTGATTAGCCCCTTGTAAGGGCTGCTAAAATTAAAAATAGAAATACGTTTAAACATCTTCTCCTACAGAACTAATTAATGGATGATCACCAAACTTTGTCTGTAGCATTTTTGAGTAATCTTTTATCAAGTTTGCTCACATTAATTTGATTGGCCCCTTTTAGAGGCCACTAAAGCTAAAAATAGAAAAAAACCTTCAAACATCAATTCCTACTGAAATAATTGATAGATGATCACCAAACTTTGAAGCATTCTTAGGTAGTCTTTTATCAAGTTTGCTCATACTAATTTGATTAGCCCCGTTTAAGCTAAGGCTTAAATGCCCCAGGTCATGGCATTTTTTCAAATTATAGTTTAAACATATTCTATGCTCAAATTTAATATTAGAATATATTGACATTCCAACACTGAAAAGCAGTTGTTTCTGGTGAGCGACTCAGCCCTCTTGTTCATATTCTAATGTACATATCTGATCATTGGAGATACTTTTAACCATTGATGTTTTAGACACTGCTGCAAGTTTTAGTCAAATGAGAGTGTTTTGAGACATTAAAGAGAGTTTTAAACATAGCAGAGAGATTTAGAGAGATTTTGAGATACAAGCGTCTCATTTTGAGATACAAGTGTGTCACATGAATTCTATATGAAAACATGATAAATCATTACCTTACAAAATATTTCTGTACCATAGTGATGATTTTGTGCATTCCACACCTGCTTTATAAGATTGAAATGTACAAATTTTGTTTTAATTTAGATACTTTATTTAGAAACTTACAACTATTTTTCAAATTATAAACAGTATGATATATCATGGTACTTTTTAGCTCACCTGTCACTTTGTGACAAGGTGAGCTTTTGTGATCGCTTTTCGTCCGGCGTCCGTCCGTCGTCTGTCCGTCCGTCCGCCCGTAAACTTTTACTTTAAATGACATCTCCTCATAAACCACTAAGCCAATTTCATCCAAACTTCACAGGAATGATCCTTTGGTGGTCACCTTTAAAAATTGTTCAAAGAATTTAATTCCATGCAGAACTCTGGTTGCCATGGCAACCGAAAGAAAAAGCTTTAAATATCTTCTTTTAAAAAACCCTAAGAGCTAGAGCTTTGATATTTGGCATGAAACATCTTTTAGTGAGTGTCTACTAAGTTTGTTCAAATAAAATCCCTGGGGTCAAAATTGGCCCCGCCCCAGGGGGTCATTGATTTTCCCTATATGCATATAGTAAAATCTTAAAAACTCTTCTTTTAAAGAACCCAACGAGCTAGAGCTAAGATATTCAGCATGAAACATCTTCTAATGAGTGTCTACCAAGTTTGTTCAAATAAAAGCCCTAGGGTCAAAATTGGCCCCGCCCCAGGGGGTCATTGATTTTCCCTATATGCATATAGTAAAAACTTAAAAAATCTTCTTTTAAAGAACTCAAAGAGCTAGAGCTAAGATATTCAGCATGAAACATCGTCTAATGGGTGTCTACCAAGTTTGTTCAAATAAAAGCCCTGGGGTCAAAATTGGCCCCGCCTCGGGGGGTCATTGATTTTGCCTATATGCATATAGTAAAAACTTAAAAAATCTTCTTTGAAAAAACCCAAATAGCTTGAGTTTAGATATTAAGCATGAAACATCTTCTAGTAAGTGTCTACAAAGTTTGTTCAAATAAAAGCCCTGGGGTCAAAACTGGCCCCGCCCCAGGGGTGTCATTGTTTTTAACTATATGTGTATAGTAAAAACTTAAAAATCTTCTTTTAAAAAACCCAATGAGCTAGAGCTTAGATGTTTAGCATGAAATATCTTCTTATGGATGTCTACCAAGTTTGTTCAAATAAAAGCCCTTGGATGAAAATTGGCCCTGTGTGTAGTAAAACTTAACATTGTGAAACATCTTCTAATGAGTGTCTTCAAGTTTGTTCAAATAAAAGCCCTGGGGTCTAAACTGGCCCCGCTCCGGGGGCCTATATACAGGTGAGCGACCTCAGGGCCATCATGGCCCTCTTGTTTATCACTGGTATCACTGGTTCTGAAAAATCATTGGATAAGAAATTTAATGTCCAGGAAATAAAGATTTGTAATAGTCAGTATGATAACTAATGAGGTTCTAATGGCAATAAAGAAATGTGCATTACACTGTATATTTTGATTATTATTTTCTTATTTTTTTGTAAACTATTTCTAGAATTATGACTTAATAAAAATTATTACTGCATCATAATTATCAAAATAATTGTGTTTCTAGTTGTTGCAATTCATGTAAGAAATTATAAGTTGAATTGTTTAAATATTGGAAACTTGTTTAAAAATAGTTTTATAAACCTTTCAGGCATTATATATTGCAATATTGTTAGAAACATAAAATTTAAGAAATGGGTATTTTCAATATTGAAAGGTATCAAAATTTTGTAATTTTCAAAACTGTCAAAACAGTAAAATAGACAAAAAATATTTGTATATAATTTAAATGCATAAAAAGAAACTTTATTTGCAGAAAAAAAGTTGTTTAAAGCATTTTGTATAAATCAAGCCTTGTTTTATGTTTCAGATGGGACGAAAAGTTGGGAGCATGAGTTCCATGTCAGGAGCAGACGATAATGTATATATGGAACTTTCTAAAAAATCCTCCAACAAGCATTCACATCCATTGTTTAAAAAATTCAGAAAATGAGAAAGTGTTTTTACAATTTACTCCTATAATGTTGGGTAAAAATACTTGTAACTTCTGGGAAAATTTTGTGAAATTTACGCCCTGGTACAGACAACATTAGGGGCATAGAACATTCTACAGAACCTTGACACCAAACTTTCATTTAAAATGATGGGAAAGTTTTGAAAATAAATGACTTATCGGATCGGAGAACAAAGTTTTCATGATATTGTATTAAGTAGTTATCTTACCTACAAAATATACTATTTTCAAATGATGAATTAATGCAGCTTTTCTAAATTTGGTTGCATGTTAAATAACATTTGTTGTTTAGATGGTATTTAAAAAATGATTATATTTCTTGTGGGCATGCCTGATGTATACATGGATCTTTCCAAAACATTTTAATTCCATTATTAAGAAAATTCAGAAAAAAAACCCAGAATGACTTAATTTTTAGATTCATTATTTTTCTTTGAAGCAGGCAGAGATATGTACATGTAACATGATCAAAAATTGTCCAATTAGTCATCCAGAAAATATTTTTTTATAGCAATTATTTTAATAAACATGTGATGTTCTAGTATAAAGTTCCAAGAATTGAGTTGTTGCGATTGATTCGTGTGTTTCAAACATTATTATTGTCTGTGGCAGGATATTGAAACTTTTCTCTTGAGGAAGACAAAATTGTGTTTATTGAACATTTTGTGAACAAATTATTTAACAAGTAATTCAGAATTATGATATAAACTCGGGATAAAAGTTTCTTTTGAACTGAACTTGTCAAGCAGAGACAATTTAAGATGATGTTATGACTGTATTGTTGTTAGAGCAAATTCTTCTCAAATGTTAGAGAAACATCATGTTGAACAGTCTGAATATTATATCACAAAGATTACAATTAATGACCTGAGAAAAATTGATAATGAATTTCACTATAGCAAAAAAGATATAATGGTTGTGAGCAAAAACGTGTTTATTGTAAATGAATGTACATTTATATCATACATTCAAACATACATTCAAACATTCTATAAAGTTTAGAAAATAAAATTATTTGGATGATTATACTTATTTTTTTTTTAACAATTCTTTTGTGAATTGAAGATTTCATTCGAACTTTGCAAATTCTTTGTGTCACCAAAGGAAAAATATTCATCATTTACAAAAGTAGTTGCAAATACGATATTAGTTTTATTTTCATATGGAGAAATCACTATATTTTAAACATAAATATGTAGATATCATCACATGACCTCACTTATTTCGATATAAAATATACATTTTCATTTTTTCTATTGCACATATTTAAAAATGTAAATAATATAACGGGGTCGAGGGGTTAGAGTCGATGACTTCTAATCCAGTTACCTCTCTGGCGAGGGTTTGATCCCCGGGAGATGCTTTGGTAGTTTAGAGTGGAGGAAGGTAATTTAGTACTGGTGTAACTCTCCAGGAACGATGGTTAGGAAACTACCCGCCTATATGACTGAAATACTGTTGGCAAAAGGCATAAAATGAAACAAACAAACAAATAATATAACGTCTTTAACTTTTATCTATTGAAATCTAATAAGTGACATCATTTTTGGAAATAGATTGTTCAGATTTTTGAAACAAATGTAGAATGTTATAGACTTAAATTCACATTCTTCAATGCCTTTTTATATAAGCATTAATTAAAATAAAATTATGCTCTACTTGAACTAAGATCTCCAGAAAATGTGTGATTATTTTCGCAGCTTCACATATACATGATATATAGATCTGCTGAAAACAGACATTTAGTTTTAACTGTGATAATGTAGTCTAATTGTAGATAATTGCAGAGTGCACAGAAATCACTATAATGTTTTGGATCTATTACTTTTAACATTTATAGCATAAATTGTAATATGATAATATATACATCCATAGGTAACATACATTATAGAAAATAATGAGAATGAGCGAAAATCAAAGTACAGATGTACTGGTTATATGACCCTACGTTTTACACAGGTAAAACAATTACAGTCTGATTAAACTATAGATAATAAACCAGTCTGTTCTTTAGTAGATTGTAACAGTAAAACACAAGGACCTAGAAACAGAAGACACTTTAATTCGTTTTTCGTCAACGTTTCTAATTTCTACAAAACATTTAGAATGAACACTAATGTATAAATAGGAGGTAATTTAACCCTATTGTTTTTCTTCTAACATTTTAATATCGTTATAGGCTAGTTTTAGTGGACCTAAACAAAAGCACTTTGAATGTGCTCAGAAATAAAGAAAGAAACATTCTCGATTAAACATTTATTTTCAAACATTAGATACTACAATAAGTAATAAGAATCAATGGATATTTTTGAAGATTGTTTACCAAAAGAAAAAGATACGAACAAAAGACAAGTCTTATTCAGTGTCCTTTTTTCCTTACATGGACAAGTATACATTCACATGAATAATGATGTCAAAAATAACCACTGGAGATAGATCGAATGATGTTGTTTTGTCGGTCAGTTGACATAAGATTCTTGCTCAGTCTTGCTGTCCTACACAAAAAATCCCTTTCAAGAAAACTTTCCCTCTTTATTATCCTCCAATTAACCACTACTGATAACCGATAAGCCAACTCCTGTGATTGTTGTTTTAAGCAAACACACGTTTATACAACCAATATATAGAAAGTTTTTAAGCACAAACACGTTTATACAACCAAGATATAGAAAGTTTTTAAGCACAAATACGTTTATACAACCAAGATATAGAAAGTTTTTAAGCACACACACGTTTATACAACCAAGATATAGACAGTTTTTAAGCACAAATACGTTTATACAACCAAGATATAGAAAGTTTTTAAGCACAAACACGTTTATACAACCAAGATATAGAAAGTTTTTAAGCACACACACGTTTATACAACCAAGATATAGAAAGTTTTTAAGCACAAATACGTTTATACAACCAAGATATAGAAAGTTTTTAAGCACACACACGTTTATACAACCAATATATAGAACGTTTTTAAGCACAAATACGTTTATACAACCAAGATGTAGAAAGTTTTTAAGCACAAACACGTTTATGCAACCAAGATATAGAAGTTTTTAAGCACACACACGTTTATACAACCAAGATATAGAAAGTTTTTAAGCACAAACACGTTTATACAACCAAGATATAGAAAGTTTTTAAGCACAAACACGTTTATACAACCAAGATATAGAAAGTTTTTAAGCACAAACACGTTTATACAACCAAGATATAGAAAGTTTTTAAGCACAAACACGTTTATGCAACCAAGATATAGAAGTTTTTAAACACAAACACGTTTATACAACCAAGATATAGAAAGTTTTTAAGCACAAACACGTTTATGCAACCAAGATATAGAAGTTTTAAGCACAAACACGTTTATACAACCAAGATTTTTAGATATAGAAAGTAACATTTACAATCATATAATATATATTGTACTCGTTATCAACTTACAAAAAACTCATTTTTATAGTGTATAAATGAAATTGCTGTGACAGTTAAAGTGTTAAAATGATAAGAAAGCAATACAAATTCTTTATGGTTAATATATGAAAAACTATAATAAAGCTATAAAAAAGAGTAATTTTTATTTGAATGAAAATTTGGATGTATTAGCATTATCTTTAGAAATTAAAAATTTCCGTTAAGCAAGGAAATTTGTGATTGAACATTATTACTTTTCCTTTAAAGTCATTTGGCCAAATTTTTGTCGATCCAGAAGGTTGTGCATATAGTCTTCAACAGTGTCCAAAATCTGACTCAAAGCCAATAGTGCAAGTATGTTGACATTGATGTCAAGTTTTGTCTCCTCCTCGTAGTTTTTAACCGGAAGTATGTTAGACCTGCGCAGGCCCAGAAGTTGTGAGGCTTTCTCAACATGTTCCTCTACAGCCCAGCTCTTGTAGGTAAATGAAACGTCCCTCTCCACATCTTTGCAGATTTTGTCTATTTTTGTCAGTATAATAAGCTGAGGAATTTCTACAGAGAGACACAAACAGTTTAAGTTCATTGCGATAGGTATATTTTACATATGTTCCAAAGAAACGACAATTTTATGTAAATAACAAAGTAACGTATATATATATCGTGTATTTTATGTATATTCCTAGGAAAGTCAAACATATACATTGTATTTTATTTATTAACAAAGACACATACCTTTTATGTATGTTACATGGGACAGAAAGATACAATTGTCTTCCGTCCAAGATGTTACAAAGAAACGTGTATTTTATATTGACAACAAAGAAACGTAAATTATATATATATATATATATATATATATATATATATATATATATATATATATATATATATATATATATATTTATTTATTTATTTATTATGTAGAAATGTAGTTTTGACGGTAGTTTGTATTTTACAGTACCGTCCATGGACGATTTGTCAAAGACTAACGTTTGTCAAACATCTTATGATTAACAGAGTGACTGATTAAAAAAACAACTTTCCCCCTAAATTATCTTTTAATCTTTATACATAAAAGCTTTACCTCTCTCGTTCATTAAACGTTGAAACTTTTTTATCTTTTCAATGATTTTATCCGAAACAACATCAAGTGTTGTGGCGTCAAGTACAATTACCACACAGTGGATTCTGTCCTGTGTTGGGCCAGTCTCGAATTGGTCATCTTTTGGTGTCACTGTCTCTTCCTGGTTAAACTGGAAAGTATAATTTCCTCATACTAAAATGTTATACTAAAATGGCTCTTTTTCGCATTAGATAAACGAAATTACTGCTCCAGTCTTACATTTTCAATTTTGCCGTGTTGGGCTTTCTTTAGGGATTCTGTATTTATCTATTTTATGATCACATCTGTGTTATTTGTGCCGTGTGGCGGCTGTAAAAAGTCTCCCCGTACATTTCATCAATGATGTTATATTTTCGATCCTTGAAGATCGTTCAGCACGACATTATTGTTGTGCTTGTGGTATTTTTAGTTTCAACTTTTCGACATTTTCTAGTTGGGTGGTTCCAATATTCCTACTTGAATAATGTTGAATCACCGTTAGGATATGTTGCCTGCTTTTTAAATTTGTCTATTTTGTTTATTTAGTTCCGCCCACTGTTTTCTCGTTTAGGGCACACGCTTTTTATTACTTGGGGACCATACGCCGCTTTTCATGGAATGGCACTACTGTGTCACATTGAAGGTTCCATGATAACCGCCGTATGAACACATCTGCGGATGTTTCTAAATTCAAAACTTCACCATTTTCGTGTTAAATGTTGAATTCTGCTTAAGCCGGTGCTAGGGGGCGTGGACGGTAACTTGCACTTTCCAGTACCGTCCATGAGCAGGCTCAATCAAACCGAGCCTGCAACATTTTCAATTTTGCCGTGTTGGGCTTTCTTTAGGGATTCTGTATTTATCTATTTTACGACCCTATACAACTCAATGTTTACCCTGTCACGTGCTATTTCCGTTCACTGTACCTTACTTGGGAGCCTATAGATTTTTTAACTTGTACCTTTCTTGCGATAAAAGGAAGTAGACTTGTTTACATACTGTGTATACTGCCATTCAAAACCATCTGTACAATAAAAAAATTTATAAACTAAAGGCTCTTGCCTAGCTTTTAGTCGATGCATTAACCGCAAAACTACTTAACCGTTCTAATCAAGCGAATCGCAGTAGAATGAATATCAAAATATTTCAGAAGCAACAGTCAATTTTAGTATTAATTGTGAATTAATGACATTTGCGCAACCATAATAGTATAAACAGTATATAGTAATAGTTCTCTTTTGGTTCACAGTTCACATGCTTAGAGAACTGTGCAACTTTATCACAAATGTAGATTTTTTTTCATGTTCGTAGGTAATAATCATGCGGATCTTAATAGAAATTTAGGAAGTCTTTTAAGTAGTAATTTTAAAGTTACATTAAATAAATTTCATAAAAAAAGAAATAGCGACATTTCTTTAATAAATTTGGTTTCATATTGACTCCAGATCTTATTTTGGTGTCCAGACAACCAAAATGAGTTTAATGAGCATACAAATGTGCAACCTCATTGTGGCGAATTCGGAAGTACAATTTCTGTTTGCATGAGAAACTCCGTCTTCAGATCATCCGTACATCAATATTAAATCTAAGTAGCAGTCCTAATTCAACGGTATATTTCCGCATTGTAACGGATATTTTTATACAAATTTAATCTTTTTTATGAGATGATTATTTTTTCTGAATCACAGGCCTAGTGCACCGTGAAGCGTAAACGGTAAAAGTGTGTTTGCACAAGAAAATCTTATATTTGTTGTGTTCCGGATAGCAACTATAACACCGTGACGTAGCGCATACACGAGCTGATTATAGTCTTCATTTGCATGTTAAAATTCGTAGACGAACTTTAGTGTTACTGTGGGGTTTCCCATTTAAAATCCTAATTTATGAACAATATTTGATGAGATTTACAACGATACTGTTAAAAATGTTAATGAAACTGTAGAATGCTTGGTTTTTAGGCCGACGGCAAAAATATTTTAACATATTTATTTAATGTAGCTTTAAGTCAAGTGAACATTTAAAAAACAACCATGCTAATTGTCAAAAAGGAGCAAATGTTTCTGTTATCTAATTCTAACAACATGCCAAGTTTAAAGAAATTCTATTTAACAGTTTTATTTTGCCTATATATGTCTATATGAAAACTCCCGAAAACGTTCTTAAAAGGCACTCAAGTTTTTGACATGACGGGACTGGAAATATTTTTTTTTGATACTCATGTTGCAATTCATTGTAGGTCCAGACCAATAAGGTGTACGCAAATTTTCAAATCAATCGCTAATTCCGTTTTTGTAGAATAATTATTCTAATTGAGTAAAATGACCCAAATCTGAAAAGCGTTGCAACGTTTTTCACTCAAAGCGAGCTATGAATAGCACAAAAATACGTTTTTCAATTTATTTCTGAGTATATTTCTTAATTACCCTTTGCATATCTTTCTATTTTAAGTACCCAGCTGACCTATGTATTTTTTTTTTACTTCAATGGAGTATGAAATATGAATTATTCTTAAAATCTTGATGCATATTTCTAAAGTTTTCTCCCAACTTTGACATCAGGAGATGGGGAGCTATTAGATATATTGATTAATTCTTACCAGATGAAAATTTTGAATGTGTCCATCAAGAAGATAACTACAATCGTTCACATCAAGACCTGCCGATTCCTCCACACCCGGTGTATCACATAAGATGAACTTTGGAGAGTCACCCGAGTTTAGTCGAATGGAGTAAGGAACGTACTAAAACAGAAAAGAATGTTATAATATAAATGTAATTCAATTTGAACATACATAATTTATAATTTACTCCTCTTAAACAATATACAATATGATGAAGATGATTATAATAATAACACACACGCACGCACGCATGCACACACAATTCATAAAAAGGTCGATCAGTGAATTATTTTTTGTTGCTGTTTTAGAATATTCGGGCACAATTTATAACAGTGGCTATAAAATATTTTCAGAAAGACCTTAAGTAAAATCTTAAATACTGATTTTATCTAACAATAGGTAAAGTTTGTGACCTATTTTGTTTGCGAGAGAACATTACCCCAGCAGTTATACTCTGCTCAGCGCTACCACTACACGCCCTCCGAGTAATACGTTCACGGAATATGGAATCAATTGTGTTGAAAAAGCTGGATTTCCCAGCACCCACTGGGCCTATCATTGCGACCCGTGCTTCGCTAAATGAAAGATCAGGGGTCGGTTTAAATGCAAGGATGGCCTCCTTAAGCCTTTTAAGCTCCTGAAATATACACAAATAACGTTCATGTTTTTCTCACATTCATATTATTATTCCGCCATAATACTATTTTGTGTATTAAATGTATATGCTATTTAAATATAAGATGTTGCCATACTTATTTCATCTAATGAGATGGTTTGGATTTGCTGAATTAAAAACATTTATTTTACGTAAAATGTCTTCATGAAAAATAAATTACATTGTATTTCTGAATGTGCGTGTTTATCTGTTGTTTTTTGTATGATATTAATTCGTACCTTTGCATCCCAGCTATCAATATTACGCCATGGTTTCCTTACTTTATTTTCATCATCTAAAATATATACTTTGTTTACATCATCTAAAATATATACATGTATTTTTTAATTCCATTATGCAGAATTTACTGGCATTTTATGCCTATTTCGGCTTTGAAAGTTACCCTTGGACATTGCGATGCAGTCATATTAATATTTCTATAACAGTCTTTCATATGGAGGGTGATTTATGCCAAAATTACATCTTGCTTTCTTACGTTACATCGTGCTTTCTAACTTGTACATCGTGCTTTCTAACTTGTACATTATGCATTCTGACATATACATCTTGCATTCTTACTTTTACATGTTGCTTTCTTACATGCACATAATGCTTTCTGCTGTGTGCGACTTGCTTACTTTTATGTTGATGTCGTTATTTAACGATCAATTATTATTCATTTGTATATTAATTCAATAAATTAACCTGCAACTGTTTGTATTTGGGTCTATTTACTCAGCTTGAATGACGAATGTCATAAGGTAGAATGCGCATATCCGAAAGCCGAATGCAGCAAGCATAATACAACGCGACATCTGGTGTAATAATATGTGACACCCAAATTATGCTAACAGGTGGCGCTACAGTTATATTCTCGGTAAAGTCCGTATTGCGGTTCGGATTCAGTTAACCAAGTTACGTCCCTTTGTTTTAAAATTTCCATTTGCACTCATGGAAAAAATATGCAAAACGATTTAACCAATTTCTATATTTATTAATGAAAGTCTGTAGGTCAAATTATATTTACAGCTGACAATGACAAGTTGCACATTTCCAAATCAATGGTTTAAGAATTTATTTTTATTCATCAACAAAATAATTATAAAATTGAACAGTTGTTCGACATTGTTCAAAGTGCTTTGGCTATAAAAAACTTCTTATTAAAATATTTTCTGACATGGCTTATTTCCAATACCTGTGATCATCCAAACATTTTTAATGTGTTTCTATTAATTAGGACATTTTCTTGCCTATTTTCAAACTAATTTTGTACACACGTTAGATTTTTTAAAATCAACTTGTCAAAAAATGTCTTTTTTCACTAAGTTGAAATTATTCACTAAGATGCTTTATGGCCCCAGCTTCTTGTTCACAGTGTCAGCTAAACTGAAGGAACTGCTGCCAAAATCAGCTGATTCTGAGAAAAAAAGAAAAAAAAGGCAAAACTGTCTAGTCTGTCAATCTGTGAGAGTTTAGCTTTAGGACGAATGATTTCATAATATTAATTGATGAGTACATAAAAACAAAATGTACAAAAAATGTCCCAAGAAATGGTTATAAAATCAAATGAATTGTTTGTCATAGAAGATATTAATAAACATTTTTTTTCATTTTTTAAAAGAAAACTACTAAAAAGGTATCTTCAGCCAAACATGCAATATTCATTTTATAACCATTTCTTGGGACCATTTTTGTACATTTTGTTTTTATGTACACATCAAATAATATTATGAAATCATTCGTCCTAAAGCTACACCACGGTGCATATCTATATCGGTACTTTCTTTGCGAAATCTGCTCAAACGGCACCCTCTTTACACATGCACAGGTTATTCTCTGCTAAAAACAAACCAGCGATGGATAACAATCCAGTAAAATTTCAATGTAATAAGGAAAGGGGGTTTGACAGGTACAAAAGATATATACCACGGAACACTAGAATGTTTTATCTATGTGCTGATTTGCCATGTGCCCGTTTTTCGTGTACTGCAACTTCACAATAAGCTACAAAAAATCGACATGTCTTGCCTCGCCCATCACCTCGACATACTTTTCGGGCTGCAATGAACCGTGGGCTTGATTATATATGCATCATACATATTTAATATGTTCATTTACATATCATCTTCGGACAAATGGCAGTATATTGTCAAAAAAAAATGTAAAATTCATAAAAACACCATACTTTCGGTTTTGCAGCGTACCCTCATGGCACAACATATGCTTTTATTTGCGTTAATCGTTAAATAGGTATGAAATATTTCTTACTTAAATATTACATACTTAACGATTAACGCAAATAAAAGCATATGTCGTACCTTGTGGGTACGTATGTGTTAAAAAATGAGAGGGTACCTGTGATATAAAAATTCAAATGAAGAGAGGTAGCCCGTGCCGATGCAAAGGAAAAAAAAGGCAAAACTGTCTAGTCTGACAGACTAGACAGTTTTGACATTTTTTTTTCTCAGAATCAGCCTGGGCCGTATTCACAAAGCATCGTAATATAGTGAATAATTTCAACTTAGTGAAAAAAGACATTTTTTTGACAAGTTGAATTCAAAAAATCTAACGTGTGGATGGTCACAGGTATTGGCAATAAGCCATGTCAAAAATATATTAATAAGAAGTTTTTTTATGGCCAAAGCACTTTGAACAATGTCGAACGGCAATCTCCTGGTTTAGACCCCTATGTATTTTTCAGGAGTAAAACTTGTATATAAAATACACTAGAAAAAACGGAATGAACCTTATATATACTCCTGGTTTAGACCCCGGGGTCTAATCCAGGATATAGCCTGTCGAACAACTATTCTATTTTATAATTATTTTGTTGATGAATAAAAATAAATTCTTAAACCATTGATTTGGAAATGTGCAACTTGTCATTGTCAGCTGTAAATATAATTTGACCTACAGAGTTTCATCAATAAATATAAAAATTGGCTAAATCGTTTTGAAGCCTATATTTTTTCCATGAGTGCAAATGGAAATTTTAAAACAAAGGGACGTAACTTGGTTAACTGAATCCGAACCGCAATACGGACTTTACCGAGAATATAACTGTAGCGCCACCTGTTAGCATAATTTGGGTGTCACATATTATTACACCAGATGTCGCGTTATATTATGCTTGCTGCATTCGGCTTTCGGCTATGCGCATTCTACCTTATGACGTTCGTCATTCAAGCTGAGTAAAAAGACCCAAGTACAAACAGTTGCAGGTTAACTTATTGAAATAATATACCAGATCAACAAATGAATAATAATTGATCGTTAAATAACGACATCAACATAAAAGTAAGCAAGTCGCACACAGCAGAAAGCATAATGTGCATGTAAGAAAGCAACATGTGAAAGTCAGAATGCAAGATGTATATGTCAGAATGCATAATGTACAAGTTAGAAAGCACGATGTACAAGTTAGAAAGCACGATGTAACGTAAGAAAGCAAGATGTAATTTTGGCATAAATCACCCTCCATACTTTCATCTATACTAAATTGCCTAACTGATAATTTTTGTTTACGCCTTTTATCGCGAATAAATGATTTGCAAACATACATTACATTTAGTACATGCACCGATGACAAATATACAGTACAACATGTATATGTAAAGTAAATCGATAAAAAATGTAGTCAATCATCTTGTTCTACTTATGTTTATGTTTTATAACACAGACTGCATCAAAGTGAAAATATGTGTATTAACAATAATCAAAGCTCACGAATAGCATCAACAATTAAACTATCGTTCATTACTCATATTCTGTATAACATTTTCATTGTAATTATACGTACATGTCACTTTATATACTTCTAATTCAATAACATTAAGGTTTCCGTTGTGGATATCATCATCTTTAACGTTCTGCATGTCGTAGGAATTTCCAAAACTTGCACATCCATTTAATGGGAAGGATGTACCAGAGCGATTTATCGTTCCGTTAAATGTATGAAGATCATTTCCGCTGCCGAATATTGGACCGTACGATGTATTGTTGTATGTTGCATAACAAGATTGTCCTGGTTTTACAGGAAATTTCATAAATTTCTCTTTCCCGCTAAAGTATAACTGGAACAAAAATGCCTCATTACTTGCATTATAGGCATTGCGTGATGAATTCCAGTTGGACGGGTTATATCCACCATATACAGAGCCGTTTTCATTATAAAGCACTGTTACAGTGGGTCCCTGTTCGTCACATTTTTCGTGAAATTTCTTTGGCTCACATCCATCTCTTGAAATAGCATACAATAGTTCAAATGATTTTGGGCCTGTGCCGATAAATTTCTCTAGCTGGTCTATGTCTTTATTTGTCAACCTTTCACCCATTGTCTTCAATCTAAAATTTAAAAAAAATCATTTAAAGACATCTTCAAATTTATAATACTATTCAGACGATAATACATACGTATTGATTAGTATAGTCAATAATTGTATTGAATAAGACGTACAGTACAATATATTCATTTAACATACTTATAAATGAAATATTGAGAAAAATTGATGAAATAAAGTGCATATTTCATTTCCGTATTTTCACTAAAATATTTTTTTCCCTGCAGTTTTTTTACACTGGTATCTTGCCGGACTACTTTCATCTAAATTCAGCGAAAAGGCCACTCGTGAAAAAATTTTCAGATATCTCTTAAAAAAGTAAAAATATTGTGACAATCGTATGATTTCCAAAAGACTTACAGGTGACAAAACTTGGGCCCATTAACATATAAATAATAAGCAGTTATGAAGTAAAGTTTTGTATGACATATTGTTTAATTCTGATAGACATATTGTTCAAATTCATTTCGAAATGAGCGAACAGTTACTGGTAGATTTTATAAGGACATCTGCTGAAAAAAAATGTGAAAAAGCTTTACCAAAAACATAGACCTGGCACCGGACTTAGAGGCCTTTGCCTATGTCATTACAATGCAGCCGATCTCAAGTGTGCGCTGGTTCAGGAGTTCCTAGAAAAAGAAACACCCCAACCTGCCTTATTCACCGGCCCTTAGTCCTTGTGATATTGTCTTGTTTTCGTTATTGAAGTAACCTCTTTCTAGACGTTGATATGACTCTCGAATTGCGTCAGGAAGGACACATTTCAAGTGTTTATAGAGTCCAAAAAGTGTACTATATTCTGCCTTTACAGATTGGATTTGAAGGTTAGACATATTTATTTCTGTTATTTAAAGAGTGAATAGTTCGCCTCATAACGAGGTTTAAAGAATCTCGATGACAAATCTAAGTAGACGCCCTTCGTATATTGTAAAGAATGCTTAGCTGGCAGAGCAAACTACCGGGGCATTTCAAAATATAATGTAATAAATGCTCTGCTGAACTGTTCAGCTGGAAGAGTAATCTAGCGGGGCATTCTTCATTTTAGTTTGAAATCAAAAGAGAAAACTAACTGGGCTTCCAGAAACATAGTGTAAATAAAATTCTGCTGGAATGCCAAGCTTGCAGAACAAACTAGCGGGTCATTCGAAAAGAAATCGCGAACAAAATGCTATTCTGGAATGCTCAGCTGACAAAGCAGTCTAAAACATGATTCCAAGACATGTTAAAAATAAATGTTCTGCTGGAATGCCAAGTTGGTAGAGTAGCCTAACAGGAAATTAAGAAATATAGTTTAAAACAAATATTCTGCTTGAATGCAAAGCTGACAGAGCAATGAAGAAGGGAATTTCTTACTATAGTTTTGTTTGTTTGTTTATTTCATTTTACGCCTTTTCTCAACAGTATTTCAGTAATATAGGCGGGTAGTTTCCTAACCATCATTCCTGGAGAGTTACACCAGTACTAGACGTAACCTTCCTCCGTGCTAAACTACCAAAGCATCTCCCGCGGATCGAACCCACGACAGAGAGGTAACTGGATTAGAAGTCATCGACTCTAACCCCTCGACCACGGAGGCGGTCTTCTTACTATAGAGTTTAAGCAATGTTCTGCTGGAATGCCAAGCTGGCGGGGAATCTAGCAGAGCATTTAGAAATATATTGTAAATCAATATTCTGCTGAAATACTCAGCTGGCTGAGCAAAGTAGTCAGGGATTCCAAATTTAGTGCAAAAAACTCTGCTGAAATGCTCAGTTGTCAGGGAAATTTAGCGAGGTATTTCTAAATATAGTCCTAAGTCAATGTTCTGCTGGAATGCAAAGCTGACTGACCGATCTAATAGGGCATTTACATGATTTAGAAATAAAGAGTAAACAAATGCTCTGCTGGAATGCTCAGCTGCATGAACAGTCTAGCGGGGTATTTATAAATATAGTGTAAAAATTATTGATGGACTGCTCAGCTGGCTAGCAAATAAGCGGGTTATTTAGAAATACAATGCGGGGCATAACGAAATATTAAAGTTAATGCCCTTTCGTAGCTTTTGCCTGAAGCATGTCTTGATATAATTTAAAACTTTATAGGTGGATACATCTTAAAATGAGGGATGCAGTTCACAATAATGAAGAATCTTCGTTTCATAATATTTTTAATATTTGCACTTTGTTATTTGTTATGCTTCATTCTTGATCATAACATTACTAAGTTTTTGGAATATATATATATATATGTACGGAACTTTATAGCTGAACATACATTTATCTCATTCAGGAGGAGTGCAGTGCATAATCATAATTACTTTTCACTTCATTCTCTTTAAGTTATTTCCATTTATACATTTCCCTAGATATTATTTTCCAGATCATAACTAACTAAAAAAAGATGTAGAGATATTAATTCGAATTTCAACAGACAAAACAATAATGACAATTTTCCATATATATTTTTTTGAGTTATTGTCCTTAGTTATTTCTTTGTACGTTTCAGGTTTTTGCCTATATTCAAATGTCAGTTTGCGCAAATTGTCTATCGTATTTTCATAACTTTTCTGCAGTTATGAGGGGAATTTGATTTGACAGTCTTTGACTGTTTCTATTTAGAATTGATATTGTTTTAATTTGCATGTACTACTTTCGGTTTCGATCGTACTTTCGGTTTCGATCTTTTTACTAACCTGTCTATAAAAAATGATTTCGTTACACTACAATATTTACACAACGCTTTTAAAATATTAAAAAGTTTAAAATCTTGGTAAAGTTATCGCATCTTTCTTGTTTTCTTTCTTTCTTTTTTTCGTTTTGTTCCATCATGGCATGTTACCATTGAATTTGAAATACTTGTTTTATACAATGACATTCTACTTTAAAATTAAAGTAACTGCAATTGAATATTTATTCATTAAATATTTTTACCTGTAAACAAGGTTTAAAATGTCCCAAGAATTACATCGAATGCTGAACTGGTCCTACTTTCCGTTTTAGATGCGCCTCTGATTATAGTATATAACGGACGAGGTCACCAGTGATTAGGGCATGTAAGATATGCTATAAAACGGTTGTGTAAAGCGGTTTGGTTTTATATTTTATTAGGATTCTTTTTATCGTGTTTACGTATTTATATGCATACTGAGATAATCAAATAAACTTGGAACTTGAAGCGTGGCTATCACAATTTGTATATTTTTTGATTTTATCAACCTGTCAATTCCATACTGATTATACGGACAGTTCACATGATTAAATAGACCTAATATGGTTTAAGAATTAACATTTAAAATTCATTCGGATTACAGTCAAAATATGCCATTGTAGCGCCGTAACACACAACACAAATCGAAACAAGTGTTTCAAAATATATACTGCTAAAAATGAAGGTCTAACATAATGGCAACAGCAGGGATCGAACTGTGGACTTCTCTCATATTAGATTATCACTTAACCGACAGCATTTTTACATTAAACTGATATATTTTTAAGACCACCCCGATTTCGAGACCAACCCGCTAATAAGAACGATTTTTTTCAGACCCGATTTTTACCTTCTTTATGTTAAAAATTAAAATCAGAGTTATTAATAAATATCTTTAAAGGGAAAGAAATGTTTACGTTAATTGACAGTTTCAAAGTTGATGATCCAAATATTTTATCGGATCACTGTATTGTATCATGTTGCTTTAAATTTGATAGAATTTGTACATTACAGAATGTTAAGATACACAATCAAGTACAAAATTTTGTTGGATCAGTTTATATCAACACATACACGAATATGCGATAACTCGAACAAAATCGTTAGGACCCTATGTAAACCCTGTGAAAGTCAAGTAAATCGAATAAAAGACGTGTTTAATCGTATCAGACCTTACTAAACCGTACGTGGAACCGTACAAAAATCGTATGTATTCGTATGCAAATTGTGTTCAAACCTTGCTTGACCGAGTATACCCTTGCTTTATTCGTACATACTCGTGCTACATTCGAGTCTAACTCGTACCAACTAATTCCCAGGCACGGTTGGAGCTCAATACTCGTACCAGTCAACCCGTGTATATCCGAGTATACCGTAAGGAAACCGTGTGCCCAACCGTGTTCTGAGTGAGACGGGCTTAACGTTTGTCAAAAATTTAATGATACCCAAAGTGATTGAAGTAAAAAACAACAAAAAAGAAACGCGTATTTTATGTTGATAGCAAAGAAACGTATATTTATGAACGTATTCTTGATGTATACATGTATAACAAATTAACTTACATTTTATGTATAATACAATGGGTTCTAAATTTTATGTATATTTATAACATAGAAATGTAGTTTTGACGGTATTTTGCACTTGTCTGTTCCGTCCATGTACTGGCTCAAACGTTTTCGACTTTCTTTAGGGATTCCTATTTCTATTTCATGTACATTAATTGCAAAGAAACGTTTATATTATGTACATTACACAGAAACGCACATATAATAGAGCTACAATGATATGTATAATTTATTGCAAAACACGTTTAAGCAAGATTGGAAACCATTTGCTTAAACAAATAGTGTGCATGCATTGTAAATAAGCACGTTACAAATATATTAACATGATTTGCTTGAAACAGTAGGTGTTGCGTGTTAAATAAAATAACATTTTTCATGGACGATTTGATGAACATTTTTCATGGACATTAATATTTATTTTAATGATTGAGAAAGTGATTGTTTAAATAATTTCTTTACTTCTTTTTTCTCCCCCCCCCCAAAATGCCCCCCTAATCCTTAAATATGCATCCCTAGTCTTTAAACATAAAAGCTTTACATCTCTCGTTCATTAAGCGATCTTTTCAATGACTTTATCCGAAACTACATCAAGCGTCGTGGCGTCAAGTACAATTATAACAGTATATATATAGTGGATTCTGTCCTGTGTTGAAGCAAACTTAAATGTTAAACTAAAATGCTCTTTTTTACAGTATATAAACGAAAGCGAGCCAATATAGTTCAAGAATCCCCACCAGCTTTGTCTGTAAAGGTATCACTTCAGGAAAATATGGACGTCAGTTCGTAGGTTCGAGTCCTTCTTTTCTTATTTTAATGTAAAAATCACCATTTTTCTCAAATCTAGTGTAAACCGTTTTGATTTTTTGTTTGTATTTAATCTTTGTGGTATTTTTAATTTGTATTATAAACGCGATGTTCTTTATATTTAAGATAGTGTTAGAAATAAACATAAATATATAAAAATACTACATAAAGGTATCCTAAAACTAGATGTAGTAAATTGATTAAAATTAATTCTTGCAAGTAAATTCTAAAATAAAAAAAAACAAAATAAAAAAAAACGCTTATCATCATGACGTGTTGTTGGTAAGGTATTGAACCAGATACCTTCAGATCACTAGTCCGGCATCTGTACCAATACAACATCTATAAGCACGGTATGGGACCATACACCAGCTGTTCCGGCTGCTCCAGCTGTCTGGCTCACTTCACGAACATGTTGAGGGGCAAGTAGTTTAATTGTATAAACTATGTTCATGGTTTAAATTTTCATGTCTAGTTTATGTCTTCTAATAACGATGTACTTTATTAAAATCTAAATGTTTTCTGAATGCGGCACGGAAAAATATACTTATGATCCAAATTCTATAGCCTCGTTCATATCAAATCAGAGTAGGTTTTCTAGATAACGAAATTTTGGCATATTTGACTTTCGTCATGATGGTATAATTTTATTCAAATTAAAGCCTTTGCAGGAAAGTCACTACAGGAAAATATTAAAATTATTTTTGGATTAAGGACGCTCATATAAATTATCTACAATAACATAAACTTGCAATTTTGCCTAGTTTTTGCATCTGTAATAGGTATAGAAAAGCAATCATGTCTGCGTCTTATGATTGCTTATTTTTTAACATAAAACCATGCAATAAATGACATGTCATGTCCCTTGACTATTTTGATATGTTTTTTTTCTTCGTTTAACTACTGCTGAAACAATTTTTGAATTAAAAAAAATGTATTATAGTTTCAAATACCTGACGGCTTTTTAGAATATATTGCACGATCAAACAGATACTCTAGTAAAATCTGAAAGTTCAATATAATTCATAACAGTACTTCAATATGTTCAAGTATAACTTCATGGTTAAAATTGGTAAGTACCAAGTATCTTATACAGACATGTAGTTGTGAGGATTGTTTATTGTGAGCATTGTTTATTGTGAGGATTGTCTTTTGTGAGAATTGTTTATTGTGAGGATTGTTTATTGTGAGGATTGTCTTTTGTGAGAATTGTTTATTTTGAGGATTGTTTATTGTGAGGATTGTCTTTTGTGAGAATTGTTTATTGTGAGCATTTTATGTTGTGAGGTTCTTTGTTCTGAGGATTTTCTATTGTGAGGATTCCCTGCTGTGAGGATTGTCTATTGTGAGGATTCTCTTTTTGTTACGATTTTGTATTGTTAGAATTGTCTTTTGTGAGGATTCTCTATTGTGAGGATTCTCTATTGTGAGGATTCTCTATTGTGTGAATATTCTATTGTTAGGAGTATCTATTGTGAGAATACTATATTGTGAGGATTGTCTTTTGTGAGGATTTTCTATTGTGAGAGTGCTCTATTGTGAAAATTCTCTCTTGTGAGGATTCTCTACTGTGTGTCTTTATTGTGAGAATACTCTATTGCGAGGATTTTTTTATTGTGAGGATTCTCTATTGTGAGGATTTTCTATTGTGAGAATACTCTAAAGTGAGGATTGTCTATTGTGAGGTTTTTCTATTGTGAAAATTGTCTATTATGAGAATTGTCTATTATGAGAATTGTCTATTGTGATGATTCTTTATGGTGAGAATTGTCTATTGTGAGGATTTTCTATTGTGAGGTTTCTCCATGGTGAGAATTGTCTATTGTGAGGATTCTCCGAGGTGAGGATTCTCTAAGGTGAGAATTGTCTATAGTGAGGATTGTCATTTGTGAGGATTCTCCATGGTGAGAATTGTCTATTGTGAGGATTCTCCATGGTGGGAATTATCAATTGTGAGGATTCTCCAAGGTGAGAATTGTCTATTGTTAGGATTTCTCCGAAGTGAGGATTCGTTATTGTGAGGATTCTCCATGGTAAAAATTGTCTATTGTGAGGATTCTCTTTGATGAGAATTGTCTATAGAGAGGAGTTTCTATTGTGAGGATTCTCCATGGTAAGAACTGTCTATTGTGAGGATTCTCCATGGTGAGAATTGTCTATTGTGAGGATTCTCCGAGGTGAGGATTCTCTAAGGTGAGAATTGTCTATAGTGAGGATTGTCATTTGTGAGGATTCTCCATGGTGAGAATTGTCTATTGTGAGGATTCTCCATGGTGGGAATTATCAATTGTGAGGATTCTCCAAGGTGAGAATTGTCTATTGTTTGGATTCTCCGAAGTGAGGATTCTTTATTGTGAGGATTCTCCATGGTAAGAATTGTCAATTGTGAGGATTCTCTTTGGTGAGAATTGTCTATAGAGAGGAGTTTCTATTGTGAGAATTCTCCATGGTAAGAATTGTCTATTGTGAGGATTCTCCCTGGTGAGAATTGTCTATTGTGCGGATCCTCCATGGTGAGGATTCTCTATTGTGAGGTTTCTCTATGGTGGGAATTGTCAATTGTTAGGATTCTTCAAGGTGAGAATTGTCTATAGAGAGTAGTTTCTATTGTGAGGATTCTCCATGGTAAGAATTGTCTATTGTGAGGATTCTCCCTGGTGAGAATTGTTTATTGTGAGGATTTTCCATTGTGAGAATTGTCTATTGTGAGGATTATCTATTGTGATGATTATCTATTTGTGAGGATTCTCTCTGGTGAGGATTGTCTATTGTGAGGATTCTCCATGGTAAGAATTGTCTATTGTGAGGATTCTCCCGGGTGAGAATTGTCAATTGTGAGGATTTTCCATTGTGAGAATTGTCTATTGTGAGGATTATCTATTGTGATGATTATCTATTTGTGAGGATTCTCTCTGGTGAGGATTGTCTATTATGAGGATTATCTTTAGTGAGAATTGATTATTATCAGGATTCTCTGTAATAAGGATTGTCTAT